ATTATATATAAAGCTAACATGAAATATTTGGCCAAGATTGCCTTAAATACAAGGCAAAAATAACAACACATAAGCTAAAATCGGGATGAGAAGATTGTCAACGGGTCATTATGACTCATCCGATTGCTTTTTATAAGTAGACGTATTTATATGATACTTTATTGAGTACATGACCTTATGTGATGATTCCGTAATAGTAGAAAGTCTTATTTGACCCTTTAACTTATACTCGTACATAGTAACATATGATCACATTTATATCCATATACTTTATTATTATTAATATTTTATGAAAACCCTCTAATACAAAAAAAATGAATAAATTTTAACTATAAAAACTCAAACTATTTTATTTGACACGGAAAAATTACTGCAAAGTATATTCGCACTTTTCCCCGTGACGATCTAGCCCTCACATTTGGGTATTCAAAACTAAATTAAAATTATCACAATAATCATATCTAATGCTATAATTCAATAGTTGAATTTTTATAAATCTAAAACTACTACATTAAAATGTAAAACGTTAGATTTTGCCAACGTGTAGTTTTTTGTGTGTGAAAGAAAATAGCTTATATTAGAAATAAACGAGCCAAGAATACATCTATGTCCCAAGTCAAAATTCTCCTTCTACCCAAACAAAACCAAAAGCCCATTGCCCCCCTCATGTCATGCTTAGACATAGAATAGTCCACCCTAAGAGAGAGACTAATTGTTGGAACGGTGAGAGCAAAGAGGCTATTAGTGACTGTATCACCTTGATTGCCTCCATCAAGAAACACCCTTATCAAAAGACATCAACCCTCAAGACCGACTCCCTTATTGAATGCGAAAATAAAAAACAACAATAAACTGAGTCATGACTAAGAATTACGGAGTAAAAAACACCTAAAATAAAAGCCCAGATGATGGAGTTTGCATGCTTCCATCCCTCCTGGTTCCTGTTCCCCATCCTTCAGTTGCATGAAAAGCGGGCATTGTAGCCTGCCTCCTCTTCATTTTTTGATGTTCCCGTTTCCACTTCCATGTCCTTGTGCAATGGTTCTTCTTCCCCATGCTCAATTCGTCAACGTTTTTGTTCAAGCTTATCTCCCACATAAGCATTCTCCTTCCCCTGTTGTAGTCCTCTCTGTTCATCCAATTTTGCCATCTCCATTCCACCCTCAGCTTCTTTCCCTTTCCCTTTGCCAACTGGGACCAACCATTTGTCCCCCCCACTGTCACATTACCCTTAGAGGCTCGCAATTCAGGACCAAAAGATAGCCCTCCATTTCTGCTTCTACCATCAAGATAGCGCGGGCAATACCTTTCTGCATGACCAATAATGCCACAAGAAAAACAAAAGCTAGGTAGTTTTTCATACCTAAATTTGACACAAAAAATTCCCCTTCATCTGACTGAAGAAGCAATTTACTTTTCAGTGGCTTATTCAAATCAATACTAACCCTTATCCTCATATAAGGGTTCGATTTGGAAGCAAAGTTTTTTTCGTCCACTTTAATAGATTTCCTCATAAAGTTCCCAATTTTATGGCATATTTCACAGAAAAAATCCCAGTGGCACATCATGAATCTGTAGCAAGAACTCAGCCTTATTCAGTGGCACCGTCATAGGCAAGTCTCCTTGCTTTACCTTAGTGAGTACGATTAGGTTATGGTCGAAAGTCCATTGTCCTTCCTCCAGAACTCGTAGCATATCAATTTCACTGTAAAATTGGAACATATATCTTCGTGCACCTATCTCAGTAATAGTAACATCTCTAACAGGTTTCCATACATTTGCCATAGTATCACGAAAAAATGAGAACGCGCCAGTTTTTCAGAAGTAATTGTCCCTACCAGAGACATGCCCACCTCTTCGATCCCTAGAGTCGCAGCCTCCACTTGTAGAATTTCGTATCCTTCCTCCATCTCCATATTGCCATATGCCCATATGCATCTGCAAGTTTGTCAATCTCTCTGTATTCATTCATATCCGTCATCGTCCTTTCTAGCCCTTCGTCTGTGCGTGTTGATTTCCTTGTGCGTCGTTTTCCTTTGATTGTGAAATAAAAAAAAACGTCGACCGACAAAAGATCACCCACACCAAAGCTCTGCAAACTGTCCTGCACAAGATCCCTGCAGCCTTGATGAAGACTTGTCGCCTACACCTCGTTGCGTAAACAAAACGTCGAGCAATTGGGAAAACGCCGACCCCAACCTAATCGCAGACTATACTCTAATCGCGGTGCTTGCCAACATGCAGTTTAAATAAGTAATACTCTTAGAGCATCTGTAATGGGGGTATGGATTGCTAAAAATGAATTGCCACAGGATAAAGAGACCGTGAGGTTAGTTTAGTTACTCCAGCGGGAATGTCTAAAGAGGCCCTCGACTTCTCCTTCTACTTTCAGTAGGCGTGATCAACACTCTAACTCAGCAAAGCGGTGGTTTTTTATTCTTAAAAGAATTGTGCAGCGTGCTTATAACTAAAAAAACAAATCATCCTCCACATGCACCCATTGCACCGACGTCATTTTTTTTTACTCCAGGGGGTCAGGGGGAGGGGGCTGGGGGGAGCCTGGAGTAATCAGGGCTGAAACTCACTCCATTGAGTTTCGAACCCTTATGTGCCTAGCGGGAATCGGACTCGAGACCTCCCACTAGGCACGGTAACCTCACAACCAGCTGGTATGGAATGCTTGGTTTGCACCGACGTCATATAATCGTGCAGTAAGAGTTGTGTTTTTGTACTAAATAAAGTCTCAACAAGTTTAATCGTGTGATGTGGCATACCAATAGTAAACCCAATTATTAAAATGGATGGTTCCATTGTAGTGTAAATAATATTCTAATTGTCTATGTGTCCACCTCATCTTGATAAACCTTCTATTAAAGTGACATGTCCATTTTTATGAACTGCAATCCATATCCTTGTTAAAGATGCTCTTATTCTTTTTTGGAAGCATACTCTTATTCATTAATAATTAAATAAAATATATTGCATCTTCCTCAATAAATCATTCTTATTAATATAAATTAATTCACCACAAAAGCATATTATGGAAATATGAATACCACATTAGTTTCAAAATACATCCAATTTAATACTAGCCTCATTCCTATCTATTGGGTTTATGACCACTGGCTACTGTCTATAGACAAAGTGTCAGTTCATTTATTTGTACATTTAAGGGAGTGTATTGTGTATGAATTGTGGTGATTTTTTTTATCCATGGATTTTTAAATACCTATATAGACTTTTAAGTCTTTAGACTTTTTATGAATGAATTGTGTTGATTTCCATAAATCCATGGATAGGTCATAGACTTTTAAATTTGGATAGTCATCGCCGGAATTTCCACTAGATTGGTGTCACTAATTTACCATAATCTCACCGCCGTCACCATAGCTTGCCACCGGAGTTCGCTACCGCCACAAATGGACTGACCTTGATTGGAGTCCCTATATCATATATCCGGGTGTATAGTATGTACACCCGGCCCAACTAAGGAAGACAACCCAAGAACTAATCCAGACAAAAACAAATCAGTGATATTTTGTAATTTAAGCGAAAAATCACGACTTCCGCTAAATAAGCAATAATGTACCATTAAAAAAACATATTTGAGCACCTGACCAATTTTATTGAGTATTAGGAGGCTGATAATGAGTATCACAATCTCTGCTTCATATCTTCTAATTCATTTTTTTCTTTTAAAAAAACATATTAAATCATATCTATAAAATACTCCTATGAATTTCAATATGTGATTTTAATGTAATATGATACTTTTGAAATATGCATTGATATGACATTTTAAAAATGATCAAAAAATCAGTACCAAATGAACATACATAACTTACAAAATGTTCATTGATATGAACATCATAGCCTCATAGGTTTGTTAGTAAATTAACATCATGACATTTTCATTGAACATCAAACATCCTCTATTGAGATAAAAATCACGAATTCTGCTAACTGAGCATTAATACACTTTTAATGAGCATGATACATATTCTATTGAGTATTAGGAGTCTAATATTAAGAATCGTGATCTTTGTTTCATAACTTCTCATTCATTTTTTTTTTGTTATTGAACATTGAAATTCTCAAATTAAAGTATACAATCTCAAAACTTCATTTACATATGAAACTATCTTAATTAAATATTATGTTCTCGACTATTAAGCATCGCGATTATGTGTATTGAGCATTAGAACTCTGCAATTGAATATACAAATTTCAAAACCTCATTTGAGCATCATGATTAAGTATCACGTTTTCTACTATTGAACGTCGAAGAATTAAAAAGCTCATCTCAAATGTGACACCACACCCGAACGTCCTTGAAAACTTGATTTTAAAATTCAAAGTTTATGTATTGGATTTCTGATTCCCAAACGATTGTAAAACGATTAATGTTTTACGTAATTAATGATCGATTATTGTACTGTTCGAACTCGTATATAAGTATCGGGCCTTATTAATAAATAAAAGAGCCTAACATTATCTAAATATTAATACATAACGTTTCAAGACAAGTTGAGGAAGGGCGGGCGGCCCAGATATTATTTTGGGCTCAACCCGCTAGAATAGCAAGTATTCGAGAATGGCGTCGTAGGCCCACTCGGGGGCGACCCACACGGCTTGTAGCCTAACAATATGAATGGCAAATGTCAAAATAAGTGATAGGATGATTTGAGAAGAATACAAATGCCTATAACCCCATCTTTGGCATTATTGAGCTAAATAATGGGAGTAGGGTTTTTCTTCTATAATATTCATCATGTAAATTATTGGGATGATCATACACATATTGGAGATCAATAATATGATGTAGAGAGTTGACTTGTTCCAAATAAATTAGAATGAGTACAAAGAGACATCTTATGACAAAGAGATCAAAAGTGAGACCCACCCATGTCTAAAAACATCTCATGGAGACCATACCAATTCATTTCACTCCACACAACTTATCCACCCTTATTGAAGGGTCTTGGACACTCCCTTAAGCCCCTCATTCGAACTCCCAAGGATAAGGGAGAAAGAGAGAGCCACACAACCAAGAAAGCAAGAGGAAGGGGAAGCTGCCGCAGGTTCGTTTTCCAGTGCGTAAGGTTACTTGTTTGCTTCATATCTCGAGTTATACACATCCAAATAAGGCGTGCGAGATACCCACAGAAAGCTCTCAAGACGAGGAATCCGTGAAGGTCTGGTTTGCATCAATCGGAGTAGTGGAAGGCTTTCAAATCGTCCGAGCAAAACACAACCTCGCGGAATACGTTTTTGTATTCAAAGTAAGTTTGAATCCAAAACCTTCCTCTCTATTGTCTAAACCATATAAATGATTGAAGAACTATTATACACTGATTGAAGTGTATAAAATGTTATTATAAAGTGACTTTAATTGTTGGAAAAGTTAGATACTAATCTAGACAAAACCTTGAAAGGTTAGGGAACGAATTCGTCGGGAAACACCCGTTCTAGGGACTGTTTTTGTGTCTTCGGTTAGGAGTTGAACTAGCACTTTGAAGAGGCTGTTTAACACTCAATTCCAAGCAAGGAATCAGTCCTCAATCTTTCTTGGCCGAGGCTTTGGTCATTGGATCGAGAAGGAAAGTTTTAAAGCTCATTTGAGGTGAGGATGACCGACTATATTGCTTATAATCTTTGGGTTAATTTCATAAGATTACCTAAAGTAATTAAATGTGATTTTCATGGATTATTAATGATTAATAATGCCTAAATGAAAACATTGATGTTTATGAGTTGAAGATGCATAATATACAAATTTATGAGTAAATGATGTATAGTTATGCATTATAAGTATAACGATGTGATGATTGTATAAACCATGACTTTTTGTGATAAAATATACTTTTACTTCATGTATAGAAATCATGAATGGATAAAAGTGATATTTTTGATATTGAGATTAATCATATACGGATTGGGGAATTTAAAGGAATGAACCCTATAACTACGGATTAGAGAGCTTGGTGGCTTAATGATGAATGGGCTAGTATTGAAATTACTAGTTGGAAAATGTTAGTATGGAAAAGTGATAGAACAAATCCTAAGGGCTTGGATTGCGAAAGATGCACCTTAAGCAGTCTTATGAGATGTCTTAAGGTAGGAATGGGCAACCGCTAAATTACATTAGGAGTAGGCCTCATAGGCTACTCAAGATAGAGAAACCCTAAGCATAGAATTTGCTTAGTGAGTTAGGATCGTGACTAGAGGAAGCCTCTAGCACGATGAAGAATGACTGGAGGAAGCCTCCAGCATTCGTGTTGGACGACTAGAGGAAGCCTCTAGCGTAGTGTAGGATGACTAGAGGAAGCCTCTAGCATAATGTAATGTGACTGGAGAAAGCCTCCAGCACAAAGTATGTAAGGTGATTAGAGGAAGCCTCTAACACCGAATTTAGTGACTAGAGGAAGCCTCTAGCACGACAAAAACATGACTAGAGGAAGCCTCTAGCATAATGTAATGTGACTGGAGGAAGCCTCCAGCACAAAGTATGTAAGGTGATTAGAGGAAGCCTCTAACACCGAATTTAGTGACTAGAGGAAGCCTCTAGCACGACAAAACATGACTAGAGGAAGCCTCTAGCATGGTGAACTAATATTGATGGGCGTGGCTTGAAGTCACGGGGAAAGGGTTGAACGTTTTCAAGGAAAACATAGGTCTTCGGGCCGACTACTTGACTTTATATATATAAAGTAAGTATACTCTCAAAGAGGGTAACCACGGGTTATGACCTATAATATAATAACATCCTAGATTGAGGGTCTTGGAAATTGAAACTTTGATTATGCTTAGTATAGTTGTCATTGTACTTGTCAAATGCTTCCAAGTACTGACCTCCCCTTCACGGGGGAGGCCACCTCACAGTTTCAGGTAGAACTTGAAGGTTGCTACCAACGCCCGTTGCTTCGGGAAGATCAAAGGAGGGAGACGTGGTCCGTGCTTCTTCCGTTCCTGTTTTGAAAACATTTTAAATAATGCTCATGGATATTATTTTTTTTAAATATTTATTTGGGGGCTTGTATGCCCATGTTTGCCAAGGTGTGGCATGAACACTTGTATTGAATGTTTCCGCTGCTTTAAATGAATATTTTACATTATGTTTGTTTATGGATGTACTATGTGTGAACGATATTCCAGACGCCTTGTATAGTATGGATGTGTTGGACTGCGGTTGACTATTCGTACTGTACGGCGGGTTGTTGACGTGTCCGGTTAGGTCCGGGGCGTGACAATTTAATTGGTATCAGAGCCTTAGTCCGTAAACTTCATAATGAAGCTTCAAAATCCCTTTTGAAAATGATTTTGAAAACCATGAGCATAAAAGTTTTGTACTTATAGAACTTTTGGTACTTGAGTTGCAAAGTCTCTAATTGTTAAGATGGTACCCTTAACAATTGGTATGACGGTGATTTGAGCCGAAAGATGTCTTTAAGTACCTATCCGTCACTTGACATTTGATACGAGCCAAATGGCTCATTCTAAACTTCTTTCAGAAATGGAACGCACCGGTAGAGTGACTCGACGGAACCCGACTGGCCAGGTGCTGGGAGGATCCCAACGTGGCAGTCAGGGGGGATCAAGAGAGTCTGGGGGACAGGGCCGAGCAGGCCACTCGCTGACCGTGAGTGACGGTCACGTGGAAACAATAGATGAGCACTATGAGTCCGAGGAGGATTCAACTTACCAACCGGGAACTGAGCCGGTTGACACCCCATATGATGGGGAACACGATGATGCTAGTGATGAGAGTGATGATAATGACGCTCTTGAACGGATTGAGGAATTGCTCCGGCAATACCAACAAGATCGCCAAAGGCGCCGGGCAAGGCGTGCTTTGGAAGGGGCTTCGAGGAGAGGAAGCCGCGCGACTCCTAGGGAGAGCATTGAACTCCGAGGAGGTCGAGGTGCCGAGGTTCCTATCATAAGGATCTCAAAGTACCTAAAGGAGGCAAGAGACTTGGGATGTAAACCGTTTGATGGAACGGGAGACATCTCCGTGGCGGCCGAGTGGATCAAGAGATTCAATGAAGCGGCCCTTGATATGCAGCTGCCACCCCATATGAAGATGAGAGTGGCAACAAGATTGCTAGAAGGAATGGCGTCCACGTGGTGGGACGGTGTCAAAGGGAAGTACGGTGAGGCGGTCACTTGGGAGAACTTCAGGCAAGAATTCTTTAGCCAATACTACTCCGACTTCGAGGTGAACTTGAAGAGGAGGGAGTACACGAATTTGACCCAAGGAGGGGAATGCACGGTGAAGGAACTTGAACACAAGTTCAGAAAGCTTGCTGAGTTCATACCGGAGTACATTTGTGATGAAAACCGGATGGTGAACCATTTCTGGGATGCCTTGGACCTTGACATACGTGAGAGGGCAACACAATTGCCTAATATGACATTTAGTCAAGTGGTGGAACAAGGTTTGAAGGGAGAGAAGGAGTGGGAAGAGAGGAAGCGAAGAAATGCCGAGGAGGCAAAGAAAAGAAAATGGGAGAACCATGGCCCCCAAGGTTCAAACAAGAAGATGAATCACGGGGGAGGAGGATCCTTCAGGGCACCCGCACCACCATCAAGGGGGAATCCCAACATGGGTGGGCAAAACTCGGGGTTACAAGCCTCGACGAAGCCTAAGTGCAGGAATTGCAAGAGAAATCACGAGGGCAAATGTCGTGATCCCCCACGGTGCTACCAATGCGGAGATACGGGGCACATAAGGCCCAATTGCCCTCAACTTGGTGGGGACCGGTCATCAGGACCAAGCAGTGCAACCACAGTGAGTAGAAACCGGGATGGGGCACCAAATGCAAGCGCGGGCCACGGCGGGGCAAGTACAAGCAACGCACCCTCCGTGAACCAAGGAAGAACTCAAGCGAGAGTGTACGCAATGACCGAGGCAGATGCTCGGGCTAATCCCGACTCCGTCGCAGGTAATACACTTATTTTGGGCATTTTTAGGCTTACTTTGATCATGTACGTCGTTGGGATTGAGTGCGGGCCACCCCGGGGCCAAACCGGGTGAGTTAGGCCAAATCAGGCTGGAAACAGCCACTGCCGGCCAGGCACGCCCGCAGGCACGCCGTGCGTGACACCGTGCCTGGGAGGCAGTGGTCTCGCTGAGGAGTTCCGGCCAGGCACGGCCGCAGGCACGCCGTGCGTGGCACCGTGCCTGGAAGGCAGTGGCCATTCTGAGGAAATCCGGCCAGGCACGGCCGCAGGCACGCCGTGCGTGGCACCGTGCCTGGGAGGCAGTGGCCTTTTCGAGGAAATTCGGCCAGGCACGGCCGCAGGCACGCCGTGCGTGGCACCGTGCCTGGGAGGCAGTGGCTGGCAGGGAGACTCCTGTGCACGCACGGCCGTGCGTGCCACCCAGGCACGCCGTGCGTGGACCCCCGGCAACCGAAAACTCATTTTTTCGCTCCGTTCTTCTACGTTTGGACCCCCGATTGATTCCAAACAGTAGTATGAACCTAATAACCTCCTAATGATGTGTAAAAACATTAGAAAAGGTATCCCACATGACTATAAATGTAGGAACACTAAAGATTAATGGGAAGCATGCGCGAATCCTTATCGATACCGGAGCGCAACGCTCATTCGTAAGTGAGGCGTTCGCCGAGGGCTCAGAGATACAATCAATACCAATGACGCGAACTTTAATGGTATCAACACCACTAAGGGAAGACGTTGAAAGAACCAAGTACTATCAGTCTTGTATGGTGGAAATCGGTGGCCAAACCTTGACGTGTGATTTCGTACCGCTGAGTATGATGGAGTTCGATGCAATCCTAGGGATGGATTGACTAGAAAAGCATCATGCTAGGGTAGATTGCGACACAAAGGTCTTGGGACTCGAAGGCAATGATGGGGATACCCTACGCTTCGAGGGGGACCGAGGCAAATCAAACAGCTGTATCATATCCGTTGTGAGAGCGAGAAGTACGATGAGAAAGGGATGTCACGCTTATCTAGCATAAGTGGTTGACAAGACCAAGGAGGAAACGAACATCGACGATGTGAGGGTGGTTTGTAAGTACCCGGATGTCTTCCCAAAGGACCTGCCGGGGCTTCCACCTGATAGGGAGATTGAATTTGTGATCGAGGTCGAGCCCGGCACCAAACCAATCTCCATACCGCCATACCGTATGGCACCCGCTGAACTTAACGAGTTGAAAATCCAATTGCAAGAGCTTTTGGATAATGGTTTCATTAGACCAAGCCACTCCCCGTGGGGAGCACCGGTTCTTTTTGTGAAAAAGAAAGATGGGACACTTCGAATGTGCATTGATTATCGTCAACTGAACAAGGTCACAATCAAGAATAGGTATCCTTTGCCTAGGATTGATGACTTGTTTGATCAACTACGAGGAATAACTGTGTTTTCAAAGATTGACTTGAGGTCGGGGTACCATCAATCGAAGATTAAGGAGGATGACATACCAAGGAGTGCTTCCCGCAGAAGGTATGGGCACTTTGAGTTCCTTGTTATGTCGTTTGGGTTAACAAATGCCCCAGCAGCAGTCATGGACTTGATGAACCGAGTATTCCATAAATACTTGGATCGATTCGTGATTGTGTTCATAGATGACATTTTGATTTACTCAAAGAGTAAGGAAGAGCATGAAGAGCACTTGATACTCGTTCTTGAGACACTACGGGAGAAGCAACTTTATGCCAAATTTTCTAAATGTGAATTTTGGCTAAAGGAAATTGGCTTCCTCGGGCATGTAGTTTCAGGATCGGGAATTGCTGTTGATAATAAGAAGATAGGGGCCATTACCGAATGGGAGAGACCAAAGAACGTCAAGGAAATTCGTGGTTCCCTTGGGTTAGCAGGCTACTACAGGAAGTTCGTGGAGAAACTCTCCGTTTTGGCATCACCATTGACAAAGCTCACTCTTAAAGGAGCTAAGTTTGTATGGGATGACAAATATGAGAAGGAGTTCATTGAACTAAAGGAGAGATTGACCGAGGCACCGGTACTTGCATTACCCAAACAGGGTATGGGGTACGATGTCTATAGGGACGCGAGCATCCAAGGGCTTGGATGGGTGTTGATGCAGGAGGGGAGGGTAAATGCCTATGCTTCACGACAGTTGAAGAAGCAGGAGGTGAATTACCCTACCCATGATCTAGAGCTGGGAGCAGTGGTGTTTGCACTGAAAATTTGGAGACATTATCTCTACGAAGAGACATGTCACATATATACTGATCATAAGAGCTTGAAGTATGTGTTTACTCAGAAAGAGTTAAAACATGAGACAGAGAGGGTGGATGGAGTTGATAAAGGACTACCATCTAGTTATTGAGTACCATCCAGGTAAGGCAAACATTGTAGCAGATGCCCTCAGTCGGAAGAGTTGTCTGGGGCATTGTCGACTTGTTTGAGGGCATTGAGGGGAACTACGCTGTGCAACCAATCAAGGTCACCAATAGAAAAGTGAAGAAACTGAGGAGCAAAGAGGTCCCAATGGTTAAAGTACTTTGGAAGAGCGATCAGGTCGAAGGGGAGACATGGGAAACAGAGGCTTTGATGAGGAAGCAGTATGCTTTCCTATTCGAGTAGAGCTGTGAATTTCGGGGACGAAATTCCTGTTAAGGGGGGGTGAACTTGTGACACCACACCCGAACGTCCTTGAAAACTTGATTTTAAAATTCAAAGTTTATGTATTGGATTTCTGATTCCCAAACGATTGTAAAACGATTAATGTTTTACGTAATTAATGATCGATTATTGTACTGTTCGAACTCGTATATAAGTATCGGGCCTTATTAATAAATAAAAGAGCCTAACATTATCTAAATATTAATACATAACGTTTCAAGACAAGTTGAGGAAGGGCGGGCGGCCCAGATATTATTTTGGGCTCAACCCGCTAGAATAGCAAGTATTCGAGAATGGCGTCGTAGGCCCACTCGGGGGCGACCCACACGGCTTGTAGCCTAACAATATGAATGGCAAATGTCAAAATAAGTGATAGGATGATTTGAGAAGAATACAAATGCCTATAACCCCATCTTTGGCATTATTGAGCTAAATAATGGGAGTAGGGTTTTTCTTCTATAATATTCATCATGTAAATTATTGGGATGATCATACACATATTGGAGATCAATAATATGATGTAGAGAGTTGACTTGTTCCAAATAAATTAGAATGAGTACAAAGAGACATCTTATGACAAAGAGATCAAAAGTGAGACCCACCCATGTCTAAAAACATCTCATGGAGACCATACCAATTCATTTCACTCCACACAACTTATCCACCCTTATTGAAGGGTCTTGGACACTCCCTTAAGCCCCTCATTCGAACTCCCAAGGATAAGGGAGAAAGAGAGAGCCACACAACCAAGAAAGCAAGAGGAAGGGGAAGCTGCCGCAGGTTCGTTTTCCAGTGCGTAAGGTTACTTGTTTGCTTCATATCTCGAGTTATACACATCCAAATAAGGCGTGCGAGATACCCACAGAAAGCTCTCAAGACGAGGAATCCGTGAAGGTCTGGTTTGCATCAATCGGAGTAGTGGAAGGCTTTCAAATCGTCCGAGCAAAACACAACCTCGCGGAATACGTTTTTGTATTCAAAGTAAGTTTGAATCCAAAACCTTCCTCTCTATTGTCTAAACCATATAAATGATTGAAGAACTATTATACACTGATTGAAGTGTATAAAATGTTATTATAAAGTGACTTTAATTGTTGGAAAAGTTAGATACTAATCTAGACAAAACCTTGAAAGGTTAGGGAACGAATTCGTCGGGAAACACCCGTTCTAGGGACTGTTTTTGTGTCTTCGGTTAGGAGTTGAACTAGCACTTTGAAGAGGCTGTTTAACACTCAATTCCAAGCAAGGAATCAGTCCTCAATCTTTCTTGGCCGAGGCTTTGGTCATTGGATCGAGAAGGAAAGTTTTAAAGCTCATTTGAGGTGAGGATGACCGACTATATTGCTTATAATCTTTGGGTTAATTTCATAAGATTACCTAAAGTAATTAAATGTGATTTTCATGGATTATTAATGATTAATAATGCCTAAATGAAAACATTGATGTTTATGAGTTGAAGATGCATAATATACAAATTTATGAGTAAATGATGTATAGTTATGCATTATAAGTATAACGATGTGATGATTGTATAAACCATGACTTTTTGTGATAAAATATACTTTTACTTCATGTATAGAAATCATGAATGGATAAAAGTGATATTTTTGATATTGAGATTAATCATATACGGATTGGGGAATTTAAAGGAATGAACCCTATAACTACGGATTAGAGAGCTTGGTGGCTTAATGATGAATGGGCTAGTATTGAAATTACTAGTTGGAAAATGTTAGTATGGAAAAGTGATAGAACAAATCCTAAGGGCTTGGATTGCGAAAGATGCACCTTAAGCAGTCTTATGAGATGTCTTAAGGTAGGAATGGGCAACCGCTAAATTACATTAGGAGTAGGCCTCATAGGCTACTCAAGATAGAGAAACCCTAAGCATAGAATTTGCTTAGTGAGTTAGGATCGTGACTAGAGGAAGCCTCTAGCACGATGAAGAATGACTGGAGGAAGCCTCCAGCATTCGTGTTGGACGACTAGAGGAAGCCTCTAGCGTAGTGTAGGATGACTAGAGGAAGCCTCTAGCATAATGTAATGTGACTGGAGAAAGCCTCCAGCACAAAGTATGTAAGGTGATTAGAGGAAGCCTCTAACACCGAATTTAGTGACTAGAGGAAGCCTCTAGCACGACAAAAACATGACTAGAGGAAGCCTCTAGCATAATGTAATGTGACTGGAGGAAGCCTCCAGCACAAAGTATGTAAGGTGATTAGAGGAAGCCTCTAACACCGAATTTAGTGACTAGAGGAAGCCTCTAGCACGACAAAACATGACTAGAGGAAGCCTCTAGCATGGTGAACTAATATTGATGGGCGTGGCTTGAAGTCACGGGGAAAGGGTTGAACGTTTTCAAGGAAAACATAGGTCTTCGGGCCGACTACTTGACTTTATATATATAAAGTAAGTATACTCTCAAAGAGGGTAACCACGGGTTATGACCTATAATATAATAACATCCTAGATTGAGGGTCTTGGAAATTGAAACTTTGATTATGCTTAGTATAGTTGTCATTGTACTTGTCAAATGCTTCCAAGTACTGACCTCCCCTTCACGGGGGAGGCCACCTCACAGTTTCAGGTAGAACTTGAAGGTTGCTACCAACGCCCGTTGCTTCGGGAAGATCAAAGGAGGGAGACGTGGTCCGTGCTTCTTCCGTTCCTGTTTTGAAAACATTTTAAATAATGCTCATGGATATTATTTTTTTTAAATATTTATTTGGGGGCTTGTATGCCCATGTTTGCCAAGGTGTGGCATGAACACTTGTATTGAATGTTTCCGCTGCTTTAAATGAATATTTTACATTATGTTTGTTTATGGATGTACTATGTGTGAACGATATTCCAGACGCCTTGTATAGTATGGATGTGTTGGACTGCGGTTGACTATTCGTACTGTACGGCGGGTTGTTGACGTGTCCGGTTAGGTCCGGGGCGTGACATCAAATCTCCAATGTGCTCAAATATTCATTAATGTTACATCAATGCACATTTACTTTAAACGGTATACTCATTGTCGTATAACACAAAACTCACTCTATGAGGCTCCATGAGTACTTATTTTAAGACTATCAATACACATTCCCTGTAAACGTTATATATACTCATTTAAGTATTAGATAAAACTCATTCAAAAACATATTATTCGCAAATAGCCTTAATATGATGAATTCTTTTAGTCAACTATAAGTATATTATATAATGAGAAATATTAAGAAAATTTATTTATAATAAGTTGTTATTATACAAATGCATCAAACAATAAAATAATTCATCAAAATAAGAATGAACATTCACTTTGGAATTTTTTCAAACACTTGATGGACATTCAATATTTAGGAAATAATAAAAAAAACCCGGAGTATTATTAGTGAAAGAGGAATAGATATTAACTTAAAAGGGAAGGGAATTCACAGGAAGTAATTAAAAATTATTGATATAAACTAAAAAAAAGAAATAAAAAGAAAGAAAAGAGAAGAAATAAAATGATAGGAAAGTGTGCAACTAGTTGACCCAAACGTACGCACCAGTAAAGAATAAAGCAATCAAGAGCAGTTCTGTATAGTTTTTGCCATCAAAGTTGTATCAAATTACAAAAATAATGGGTGTATGTGTACACCCGGGTGTACCATTTATATTGCGTCTTGATTGTGTAAGGAAACTAGGAAGAGTTAATTATATTAATTAATTAATTAAATTAGGGGTAACAATGTAATGTTTAGGGAAAATTTCCTAAATAGGAGTAAAAAAGTTTTGAAATTTCAAAATAGGACTTTCATGTTTTAATTCCCTAAACAGGAGTAATTTCTGCCAAGTTTGGCATTATCAGGCTTTAAACATGGCAATTTTTACCAAGTTTTTCCAAACTTGGCAGGAATTACTCCTATTTAGGGAATAAGAACATGAAACTCTTATTTTGGAATTTCAAAACGTTTTTACTCCTATTCAAGACAATTTCTATAATGTTTAATCTCATTTATGTAAAAAATCAAACATATGGTCCTATTTTGGGAAGAATGCAATGTTTTACTCCTACAATAAGAAGTTTCCTCTATATAATATTATACGAACAATTAAATAAATAATTGAAATAAATATAATTCATCTAGCAATGCGGAGTTCTAGAGTAATACATGTGGCATAAGCGTCCAAATTTATTTTGATTAATTAGGAAACTCAAAATTGAGAGAATGATCAACAAACTCGGTCTTTTTATAATCAATTGTTATACTACACAACTGAATGAGTAATAATACTAAGGATGAGTTTACTTCGCTGCTAAAGTCACGGTTAGGTTAGTAAGACAGGTGAAGTAAACATCCAAGCTGCTAAAAAACTGTTTGCTAATCGAAAGAGGTGCTTAAAGTGTCGCTTACTAAGCATACCACCACCATGTATTAATTAAGCGACACTTTAAACTTTTTCACTTTTCGAATTTACCTTACCTTTACCCCTTGCCCTTTCCCTATTGCTACCCATCTACCCGTTACGCCCCCTACCCTACCCTAAACCTTACCCCAACTCCACCCTGACTACACCCGACTCCAACCCCCGACCTCGACCCACCCCTTCCTACTTACCCATCCTACCTTACCCCTACCCTACCCCACCCCCACCCACCCCTAGTCCTTTACCCCCTACTACCTGCCCCTACCTCAACCCCACCCCTACCCCCTACCCACCAGCCCTTACCACCTACCCCCACCATACCCCGACCCTACCCCCATATCCTGACCCTACCCTTTTACCCCATATCACCTACCCCTACCTCGACGGCTCGACCCCACCCCGACCTCGACAGTCGACCCCACCATTATGAGTAGGAGGGTTAGGGGTATGGGTATGGGTGGGAGTAGGGGTAGAGGGTAAGGTCGTGGTAAGGATAGGGGTAGGGAAGGGGTAGGGTTCAATGGTGTGGAATTGGGGGGTTGGGTGTAGGGTGGGGGGTACCGGGGGGTAGGGGTTAGGGGGTATGGGTAAGCGTACGAGGTGACTCCCACATATTATATTATATACTTGTGTCTATATATGTATAGAGTTATTTTGGACATTTTAATGTTACATGGTGTTTTAAAACATTTGAAGTAAGCATGAGCTTACAACACTGCTTATTTTATGTGCCGCTTATTAACGCGAGTCTTAATAAGCACCGTTTAGTGACCAGTGAAGTAAACATGTCCTAAGTGTTACACAACTTTTACACTCGTTGCTACATGTGGTACGAGTATACATGCAATCAAGCTTTTCTTCTTAATAGTTGTTTTCTTTTATTTTTTTAGCTTATTTAAATTTGTTTACCTAATTTACAATTAGATATTTATTAGTTTGATATTATATTTTTATGCGTTAGCAATTTAACGATAAAACAAAGTAATGATTGAATTTTTTTTATTTCTTAACGGTAATCTGATCATCGACAATACACCGAAATTGTATCAATATGATATTATCGATTCTTTTATCGGTTCTTAAAAAAAAATCTAGAATCGAATCAATATTGGACTAACGGTTCTTCAAATGATTCCTAATTTCCTTTCAAGAACCGAACCAATCTCACTCTTACAATTTTCTTCATAATAGTCTTTCTAATTTCTTTTAAGTTCCTTTCAAAAAAATCTTTTAAGTTTATCTTGTGTGTTAGTATTGATGTAGAATCATCATATTCAATTTTATTTATCATAAAATGATAAAAAATCAGAATTTAATTTTTAATAATAATAACGCAAAATTTGATTATTGATGATCAATTAATAATATATTATAAGGAGAGTAGACATATCTCAAACACAATAATAATGACCTAAAAGCATATCTCGGCTAACACAACAGGAGGTAGCCATCCCCTTTCACAATCACAAACTATAAAATCACAATAGTTACACCTAGTGCAGAAGAGAGGACTTGGATTCCATACCTCAACCATCCACTAAGTGTAATTATTATTAGAAGGGCATGATTGCTCTTATTCCTACAAAACTCTAGCTAAATATATTTAGACGCTTTAAAAGAAAACGAAATGGCAGAAATGGTCTTTCAATCTTCCACCCCAACAAAACAAAAATTTTAAAAACATTATTACCGAGTTTCTTTTGGAAAAAATTAGGACGTTATTTTGTTTTTCAATTTCTCATACGCTGAGGTTGCGGCAGCAGCTCCTTCTTCCATGGTTGAAGCCACCGGTGAGGATGAGGGAGACGATGATGGAGATCCCGAAGGCGAATCTGATGACATAGACGAAAATGACATTGATGAAGGTGAACCGGAAAATACTTGACACTCTGTCATGGAAATGAGTAGAGAGGACACCAAAAGAAGAACGATGAATTTTTTGGACTCCATTTTATTCTTTGTTTTTGTTTTTGTTTTTTAACCTTTTTTTCTTTTGAGAGAAATTGAACTCCAATGATGTTGGGAAATATATGAGGATATTTAACATTTATATAGATGCCGGGATCTTGGAAATAAATGGCCATGAGAGAAAATAGGTTTTTGTGAGGACAAAGTTCTTGGAATAAATATGCTTCAATTTTTTTCGGCCAATGCTAATACACCATTCACAATATGTTATAACTAATTAACTACTCCGTAATAACATATGGAGTATGATACTTCATTAAATATGGTTTGTTTTTTAAAGTTAAATTTGGTTCTTCCATAATACTACCTTCATCCCACTATGTTTGAGATAAAAGGGTGTAGCACAACTTTTAAGAAAAAATGAAATTAATTATGTTATTGGCCGGTATTGAATTAATAAAGTGTGACAAGAGTAAGAATGACTTGTAACTATTCAAAAATTACTAAATATGGTGCAAGACAAATTTATGGGACAAACGAAAAAAATAAAATGCGACAAAGTTAGGGGCGGAAGAAGTTACAATTAATTTCAATAATTTTAATTTGCCAATCATTTTAATTGACTTGAATTTTGTCGGGTGGAACTGTCATAAACGAATACCGGACCCACGGTTTATGTCATAATATAATTTTAGACAATGTTATACTAGTAATTGACTTCAAAAAATATTTGTTCTTAAGTAGTTACACTTTTAAAGTGGTTGCTTTCAAAACAGAAAGTAAAACTAATACTTGAGAACATTTCAGATTTCAGAAAAAGAAGTGAAACGATAATGGAGCATTCTCCGTCCCTTATGATTGTTTCATTTTTTCCTTTATGGTCAGTCTTATTAGATATGTCTCATACCAAATTTGTAAGTTTTGTGTGATTCTAAATAATAACGTAACTCTTACTTTATTCATATTGTATCAATTCAATATTTCAATATCAACCACATAAACTCATCAATAACTGCTGATGGAGTATATGATCCGGGAACCCCCGGCCTATAGACTCCTACTTCTCCTACACAGGCCCATTGAGCCCAAGGAACATTCGAAGCCCAAATATAGCGGCCCAAGTCTCAAAGAAACCCGAAATACACACTGGGGTGCCTTCGGCCTCCTTGGCCATCCATTACTATATTATAATATAGAAATGTATAGTAATAACAAAAAAGTATATGGGTGATAATGTGACTCTTTCTAATGAATTCTCGAATAATGACTTACTATATTATAAGTCATTATTTTGTTCATATTAAGAGACTAATGTGATTTAAAAAATTGAAATCATATCATGTCGATCAAATATGATCAAAATATTCAGATTAGACCAAATTGAACAATGTGCCACATTTTAAATATTTATCACCCATATACTTTTTTGTTATTACTATACATTTCTAAAATTATTGTTGTTGGGATATAATGCCTAGCACGGGGCAAGCCCAAATACCCCAACAAATATGATTCTTTATTTTTACTTCTAATATTATTGTCTCGTTTATCTTTATTACTGTATTACATAAATGTCAATCAACTGATACTATAGTCTTGATCATATATTTTAGTCATTGTAGCAATATTTTTTCAGGCACAAAGTTAAACTCTTCAATGTGATTTGATTGATATAACTTGTAGGTTCTCCTATGCTCTCGAGTCTCGATGTTTTCTAATGCTCTTGTTCATTTTTCCCACTTCCAAGTCAACTAGATTTGGTCTATATTATTTTGTATCAAAGATGACATTTCCATTTCAAGAGTGCATTTGATGAGATGGAATCACAATGGACCTCTCCATTGGAGATGGTTGAGATGCCCTAACAAGGTCTGGATTACACCAATTAATTGAAGTATGGAAAATGTTAGTGGAACGTCATCTTAATTGGGATGGAATTTGATAATATCTCACATAATGTAACTTGAAACACACCCAACTCCATCTTAAGATCAATTTTCAGAATATTTGAAATATTATATCATTGTCCTTTTCAAATGAGTTATCATTTATACGTAGGATGTCATACTTTGATATTTTTGTTTAAATATGTGTTGTGCTTCCCATGAGTGACCATAAAACCGGCCTAGCCCAACCATAATTCACCAATGAACCAAAAGTCCATGTCCATCACACTCCCATTGCCACTACAAAACCCGAGTGTCAAATGGCAATGACCACCTTCCTCACCCCTACTCAATTCCAAATCCGCCTCAAACACAATTAGTGATTCAATACATGCCCAAACTCTAACCAATTCATCTGCACGAATGACCCAATTTAAGTATTCAACCAACCCTGAGTCCTTGACGGTTCATGTCACTCTCAAACTCCAACCCGACTATGATTTAAGTTAGTCATGAAGTTGAAATTCAAATAATTATAATGAACGAAACTAGTATGTATATGTGGTTAAGAATTTTAGTAATACTAAAACATGCTAAAACTACATATGGTCAATGCATACATGCTCAACTAATTAACTGATTTTCACCGGAAAAAAAGTGAAACCTATTTCGTTATTGAAAAAACTTTGGCCTCATAAAACCTATCTTCTCTCATGATCATCAATCGCCAATAAGCCTATCATCTATATATAATGCTAAACATTCTCATAGATTTCCCCAACAATATTCAAGACTATAGCAAAAAGGAAAAAAGTCTTAGAAATATAACAAAAATAAAATAAAAGATGGAGTCTAAAAGGTTCATCGTTATTCTTTTGGTGTCTTCTCTACTCTTAACCATGACAGAGTGTCAAGTATTCTCCGGTTCACCTTCCTCAATGTCATTTTCCTCAATGTCATCAGATTCACCATCGGGATCTCCATCATCGTCTCCCTCATCCTCACCGATGACTTCAACCATGGAAGAAGGAGCTGCTGCCGCAACTTCAGCATATGAGAAATTGAAAAACAAAATAACCTCCTGAATTTCTATTTCAACAATTTAAAAGAACTCCGCAGTAATTTTTTCTCTTACCTTTTTCTATTGAAATGTGGAAATGTGCAAGGACATTTTCAGCTTCTATCTATATGTTTTTGGTTTGGTGTCACAAGTTCTTTTTAGATACATATTTATATAGTTAGTAAATAAACACGAGCAATGTCGCTCTTGTCATTGTAAGAATAACAACATTATCAACAATATATACAACTAGTGCAGTTTTGAAGTCTATCTCATTTGAGCTTCAGGTGTAATTAGAGTATTTCTCTTGAATGGAATATATAGTGTGCATGTGTGCCTGAACCCCTTTGATTTCCTATCCATAGGGGTCGGGTTGAGCCAGATCGACCATAATTAATATCAGTGATGTCAAAAATTAAAATAATGTTATATACACACATAAACATATTAATAACTAAGTAGTTTTATATTTAAACTAACAAATAGGGCCTTTTATAGTTTTATGAGAATTATTTACAACATTATTTATCAGTTTCTCGTTTTCACTTACTTAATCATTCAATATTGATTTCATTTATAGTATGCATGCATCAACTAAACAAATACAGAGTAATATATATCTAGAAACTTTTGAAATCACCAAGGAGTATGTAAAATAACCATTTGAATGCTAAAACTATTAAATTTGTCCGAAAAATAATATTTATGTTATTTATTTTTGTTTCAATCAAACTTGAAAAAATTTGTTAGATAGAGAAAGCAGATGTGAGGAAATATGTGATGTCATTTCTTATAAATTGACTTTACTTTTAAAAACTATAGTGTCATTCTTTAAAATTTCAATTTATATTTGTATATACATGTGCACATAATTATCTAGGTGGTGCCGTGGTGTCAATTAACACCACAATGTTGACCCTGGCGTCGTCCCTCCAAAAAGGTGGAATTGTCTGAGGCTTATATATCGATACATTTTATCCTTCAAACGCCTGATTAATCATGTTTAATACGTAGTACATGATTTCGATACATTTTATCCTCAAAGGTCTGAATCAATAAATTTCGAATGATGTATCATGTATAATACACCTTCTCAAAAGTGCATGGCTGGATGTGTGGATTGGCTACGCTTTGGTAGACTTTTCAAAAATACTTTGTGATATATGGAGTACTACAGTCTACAGAAGGTAAAATGCGACCATACCATTTAAAGGTGAAATAGTAGGACTAATTAATATTGTAGAAAAAATAGGAGAGAATGTAGAAATTATGAAAGGGAAGATAAAAAAATACAAAAGTTGAAGGAAATCAAGTATTTTTTTTAAATGAAAACTTATCAAAAAAGAAAAGAGTTAATTATCAAAATAGGACTAAAAGTCATTCACTTTGCACAAATAGGACCAAAAAATAAACTATGTTTCCATAGAACTAATTATGTTTGTCTTGGACAAATATACCCTTATACCTATTGGAATGTTTTAATTTATAATAAAATAATAAAAAATAATAAAAATTCGTAAAATATACCAAAAAATTAATAAAAATATTCTGAATAATAATAAATTTAAAAAAAAAAAATTTAAAAAAAAATAAAAAATAAAAAAAATAAAAAAAAAATAAAAAAAAATCAAAAAAATATTTTTTTTGTCACCGCCGCCTATACCGCCCCAGCACCACCACCTCTAGTCATTTGGGGAAAAAATGCCAAATTTATTATGAATTCCATATTTTTGGCATAATTCAGAATGATTTAAGATGGAAGAAAAAAAATGTTGGCATTCTCAAAGAGAAATATGCCATATTTTTGGCATTTTCCGAAAAAAAAATGGAAGTTTGTAGGAAATATGACATTTTTTTTAACGGTCGGAGGTGGTGGTGCAGGGAGGCGGTACCACCACCTCCTGTCACCGGGGTAAAAAAATGCCAAAAAAATTATGAATGCCATATTTTTGGCAAAAGTCAAAAGGATTCAAGTTGGCAGAATGAAAATGTTGGCATTCTCATAGAGAAATATGCCATTTTTGTGGAATTTAAAAAAAAAAAGTGGCATTTTTTACACCGATCGGAGGTGGTGGTTCAGGGAGGTAGTACAGGCGGTGGGAAACGTATCCATATTAAATTTTTTTTTTCTTATTTTTTATTTTATAAAAATTTTATTAATTTTTTTATTATTTTTCTACGAATTATTGAAATTTTTTCGAATTTATTATGAATTAAACATTTATTTATGACTTTTAGCTATCTTTTACTAATATTTAAAGGAGGGGTAAGAATGGAAGGAAGAAATGAGTATGTTTCCATTAGGACCACTATGGTCCTATTTTGAAAAAAAAAAAACATAGCAAGTCCTATTTTGAGTTTTTGTCATAGTTTTAGTTCTATTTGAAGTAATTTCTAAAAAGAAAAAGTATAACAAACTTTTAAATATATCCATAAAGGGAAAATATAGCAAACTTTAAGAGGTGGTCTTGGTATGGACTCGCGGATTTTTAAAGGAATTTAGAATTCCATCGAAATTTGGGGTCCTCAGTTAGGATTTGTAGAATACTGCTAAAAATCTTTGCACTCCCTTCGGATTTGAATGGATTTCCCGCCCATAAGCAAAACAAATAAAGTTAGAAGCATAGCTCGGCTAATCCGCCATTCTAATATCTATCTTCAACTCTGAATCAGCTATCTCTTTCCACCTTCGATGTCTCTGTCTCTCGAGTCGAGTTTGTCCTCCTAAAGAGCCCTTTCTTATAGATCATTCTTCTATCTTTTAATTTGTGTTCATATCCCATGGTTGTTGCGTTCTTTTCGATGTCGTTTGTGGATATGTGGGTGAATCCAACTCAAATTCCAATTCCCTAAACAATTAAAAAACAAACAAATGTAGCTGAGCTTTAGGATGGAGAAGCCAGGGCTTCATGGTGGTGAGAATCTGAGGTGGGGTCGGAGGTGGATTTCAAATTCCATCAAATTTGATTAGAATCTCACATATTATTCTATACAATTCCATATAAATCCATCAAATCTCAATCATGTAAAATCTTATGAATAACTTACTTGAGGACACCCCTTAAAATAATGATGAAGTATTTGTTTTACAATACTTTTAATTACCGTATTTAAGTAATTTAACTTCTAAAGAAAAACTTATAACTTCAAAAACACCATACAAACATACCGTACAAACTTTAAGGACTTCCCTATTTTCAATTTAAAATGCTTGCAACCCAGAGAGTGGGGATTTATCTACCGTACATCATTCCGGCCGGCGGTCGGCCGGGCGGCTTAATGCGAACCCAAAACCCGAACACCGTTGGAATCGTATGAAATCTGGCCTGAAAAATCCCACGGCTGACATTTTTGCCCTTTGACAATATTTCTCTTCCATACAGCTCCATCATCACCATCCTCTGCTACAACCTTCCTCCAAGATATCATTTTAGCCATCAAAAGAGCCTTACACCTTATACTGCTAACAATAATCATCCTCTTCTTCTTCTCCCCAAACCTTTCACTCTTCTTCTCCTTCCTGCTGCTTTCCTTCCTTGAAGCTCTATTGGAATGGCAAAAGAAGGTACCTGCCTGGGAAAGAATTTTCATGTCTGAAAATATGTTGTAATGAAAATTAGATATTCAGATCTGCCAGTTCTGTGGATGGGAATTTGATAATGGGAAACAAGGAAAGCTGGATGTGGTTATAAATGGAGCATAATCAATTGGATTCAAAGTAGGAGTCAATAAGTTAGAGATAATTACAGGGGCGGGAGGTATTAATGAGAACAGGAGAGAAGACTCGTGAGTTGACTTCCACGATTGACTCAGAGTCGAACCAGTAGTCAACAGTGAAACGTTGAAAACCAAACAGTGGAATCGGTTCGAGATTATATTCTAATTCTAATTCTAATTTAGATTCAATCCACAAGATTTGGGAAAATCCTTGTGTAAACGGCTAAACGCTATTTGTACACGTCTTCTATTTGTAATAAGAAATGCAATTTTTCATAAGTTGTTTGTATGTAGTTAACTTGAACAACATGCACACTAAGCGCGATTGCAAGATTATAAGATAAAATAATAAAAAGATTAACACTATATATATATATATATATATATATTACATTTTCGCCATTGTCATTGTCAAGTTTGAATATTACGTGAAATAAGAAAGGTATTAAGTATTTGGTTAATATTTATGTATAGAATAGGGAAACAAGCAGAATCAAAATTAAAGTCAATTAATTTAATGAAAAATGGTAAAGTTTTTGAGTCAATTAAAAAACGGAAAGTTGGCAAAGCCTAGTAAAACTTATATACTAATTCGGATCTATATGTGCATTTGTTGGTTTGGTAGTAAGATCTGATATGGTACTAAGATTACTTAGCATTCATCATAGATGGTGAATAATTGGTGAATAGATGGTGTAGACACATTCTTCAATTACAAGAAACCTAGGTCAATTCATGTAAACAAGTCAAACAACTTCTTTGCACTCAAATTTATCGTATGCAAGGGAAGAAAAAAAGAAGGATTTTAAATTTTTATAGTTTAGTACTTTAGTAGCTTAGAGCATCTTCAATGGTACAATGTGCACGGTGCATACGTGGAATGAGAGATGACCACATAAATATTAGTAAATAAATTATTTCTCTCCTTATTTGAATGATTTTATACAGTTTTGGTAAGTTTTTCTCCACAATGTCAAGGAGACCATCTAATGTTGACCAGGGGCGGATCCAGAAAATTGAACTATTGGGGGCACCTACTAAGAAGAAGTTATTTTTTTGAATAATTATTATCAAGTATAAATTAACTATATTAAATAAAATATTCCAATATTAGTAAAATGAAATATTAGAAGAAGAAGTTATTATTAAATGAAATATTCCAATATTAGTAAAATTAAGAATATTATAGAGTATATTTTATTGCGACTCCTCTCTAAGTTTTCATTTTTTGAAACGATCCATCACAATTTTGTTTGTCAATCATAAAAAATTGACCGCTAATTCAATTGCGCAAATTCGACTTGAAAATGTTCACCGCAGAAAAGCATCTTTCAACCGTAGTGGTAGAAACTAGAAAAATTAATGACACTACCCCCGTTTTTAAATAAGTGCAACAATCCACTTCTCACGTTGCCGATGCACGTCTTTGACCATTAGTATATTCAATTCTCTATGGGTAAAAAAAATCGTATTTTGAATATTTACGACGAGACAAATTTGACTATATTTTTTAAAATAATAATTTATTAATACATTATTAAATAAAATATAGTCCAATTAGATCATGTAAATAATGTAAAATTCAACATGTTGTACTTATTTAATAATGAAGGTAATATGATCATAATTTTCAGCCAATAATTTTCTTTAAAAAATCATGACCTCGAGGTTGGCAGGATACTATAAATAGGAGTTTCTTTTTATCTCATCTTTTTTATAAGGATTGTAAGGGAGGTGATTCAAATCAATTTCTTTATGCATCTTTATGCACTAAAGGGAGAAATATTTTGTACATTGCCACTTGAACTTCTTATTTCTTTTATAATACCTTAATATCATTGACTAAACCTGTCCAAATATATAAAATAAAAAATTATACTCCTTTGTTATACGTACTATATAATACAGTGAACAACCTTCTTAAACTTGCTTTAAGTTAAATGATTCATTCTTTGAAAAGAAATTAAATATAAAAATACAATAGAAGAACAAATCCACAAAATTAGCTAAACATAAAATAGCATTTCACTCCAATTAACAAACCAGAAAAGTACTTTGTATCAAATACGTAGTAACTAATTTAAAAACCCCAAATGAATTAAAGAGATGACAAATTAATGGGGGCATCAATAATTTAGATTGGGGGCACTACCTATTCCATTAAGTATATACGTATATATTTACTTCAAAAAATGGGATTTCCATTGGGGGCATGTGCCCCCATTAGTTTATTAATACGTCCGCCCCTGATGTTGACATTGTTGTTGACATTGCAGGGGAAAACTAACCAAAATTGTATAAAATCACTCAAATAAGGAGAGAAATAATTTATTTGCTAATAATTATGTGGCTATCACTCATGCCACATGTGCACCGTGGACATTATAGCATTGGAGATGCTCTTAGCAATAGATTTTAGGATTTTTTTCAATATAGAACTCAAAAGAAATGTTAGCTATTAATCAAGAATCCGTAACCGTTAACATGTATACATTTTAGCCCTAATGACTAAAAACTATTAATATAAAACTTAAGAAATCATAATACACAGTTTTTAAATTATTTTTATACCAACTCTCAATGATTTTTTATTTGTGGAAGTTGCATACAATTTAGCAAGTTAAATAATATTGAGATTAATTAAAATGAAAAATCAAAGTTTATAATAAACAAAGTTCCTATCTTAAAAATCAAATAGTTTTATATTTCTTGGATTTATTTGGGATCATGCCTCACAAAATTTTAATCCTATTAGGTATATCACTATTTGTTAACACCCAAAATTAATGAAGTCATTGAGTAGTGAGCTTGTAACCAATCAAAGCTAACATGTCATGGCAAAGGTAACGATGTTACCCATATCGTTACCATAATTAGGGCTGAAACAGACGTGTACTAATTAACTTGCAGACTGATGACGTTACCATTTGGTGCCCCAAGCCTCCTCTCTTTCCATGGCTTACTTCCAAATGGTCTTTGGGGATGCCTAGATCTTAACAGTTTATAGACAAACATCGATCAAAAATTCAAAATGAGGGTCAATTATGATGTCAAAACACATTTATTACTACATATGTACCCTAAGGACGTGTATATGTGTGTATATGTAGATGAATGATCTGGTCAGTCCGGATTCACGAGAACCGCCGTCCGACCAAGCTCGTCAGAGGGCTTTTTGGGGCATATTTTTTGATAAAATTTTGTGAGCACGTTCTCCATGAAGTGTAAATCTGTAATATTATACAGAAAATTTTGTGATAAAACTCAACCAAAAAATCAGTTAAAATATTATACTTGGGCAGCTAGCCGTGAATAGAAGTATAGAACAAGCTATCTTCATTTCATGCTAAAGAGTGGGATTGTCATCCCTTTCTTCGTCATACATGTCCATAACCTAGACGGCTAGACAAACTTCATATGTTTTCTCAAATTCAGGCGTAGGTCAGCGTCGATAACTTAGGCAAACTCTTCAACTCTCATTTTGGTTCTACGTCCAAATAAATTCAAATAATCATCTTAATTTCATATAATTTGATAGTAGAGCTTCAAATTTTTGATTTGTTGACACAATGGCAAAAAGGTAAAGGAAAATTTTCACATATGCTTCACGTGATTTTGATTCCATTACAAGATCAAATCGGGCAAGTTAAGAACCAACACATATGCCTGAATTTCCCATTTCAGATATTCAGGCATATGTGATTAATTGATTCATGTTCCCATTTCAACTTATTTTAGATATACAGACCTAAATCCGAACCAAACTGGAAATAGTTTTTCTTACTATGGTACTGATTCCTCCCTTCCCCTGATCAAAACTTGCCAACCTCAAATTGAAAGTAGACCAAAATCGGTCCGAGTCCACCGTAACTAAAATGGCCAATTATTTTTTGTTCTGATTCATTCAGTTGGATCATTTGGATGTGTTTTTGTACAAATTCCAATTTAGAGATTGAAAATATGTAACAACTTAATAGATGGGTTTCACAAAAAAGGGGTTTGTCATAAAAAATTTATGACAGATTAGAGTACCTATATTGACATCCAAAAATGAGTCGAGCTGTTTATGATACACTCCTAAGTTAAGAAAACAACAAAGGAAAACAGACTAAGATGTTAGAGTAATTTCTAATTATTTAAAAAGAAATTGCCCTAAATAGGAGTAAAAACGTTTTGAAATTCCAAAATAGGAGTATCATGATTTTTATTCCCTAAATAGGAGTAATCTGCCAAGTTTAGAAAAAAATGCCATGTTTAAAGCCTTATAATTCCAAATTTGGCAGAAATTTACTCCTATTTAGGGAATAAAAAAATGATACTCCTATTTTGGAATTTCAAAACGTTTTTACTCCTATTTAGGGAATTCTCTCTTATTTAAATTTAAGTAGAACACATAATGTTAAACCCGGCCCGGTACTGTGCAGGCCCAACCCAGCCCGGTCAGCCGGTACTGGGACCGGGATTGGGGCCTGAACCGGGAGTAATTAGGGCGGGCTACGGGCTGGGGAAAATTTGCACCGGCCGAACCTGGCCCAATTATACTTTTTTAAATTGTTTCCCATTGGTTGGCTGATAGGTGGGTGGGGCTGGGTGGTTTGGGGGTGGGGGGGTTGTGGATGGGGTAGGAATAAATTCGAAAAGACAAATTTAAAACAAAAAATATTTTGTGCCCGACCCGTCCCGGTCCCGGTACAAACTCGAGCAGGTACCGGGCCCGCAACCCAAAAATTTAGTCCTGCCCAATCCCGGCCCGGGCCCAGGCCTGGTCCATCCCAAGATCAAATTGAATCACACATTTCAATTATTAAATACCTAAAAACAATATATTTGAGTAAAGGGAAACAACTTTATAACAAAGTTTACAATACTTTAACTTTATATTAAATATATGTAGAGAGTAATTAATACACGCTATATTATTAATTGGAGAGATGTTCCATCACACGCATTGTGTAACTGAGAACCTGTGAAAAGAAGTCTGGTGTCAGTGATCCTCAAATCAGTACAACCAACAAGACTCTTTTTGTTGGGGAGAGGGACTGTTTCACATAGAACCGAAGTCCAACCCTTTGATGATCTTGCGTCGCCACATGGCTGTTTCTGGATCAAACCTGAGTTCCAATGTTGGCCAGTAGTGTAAATCTTGCTTCAAAGTAAGCACTTCATCCTTCCCATCCAACTTTACCGTTCTTACACGAGCAAACTGCTCATGCTCTAATCCCTGACCATTTGAGACCACATTCATTATCAAAACATACCAATTATTAGTTAGTCTTGATGATAGTTGTTTTATTGAAAATTTGAATATAGTTATAGTCACAGAAAGTTACTAAGTCATACTTTTATTCATTATTCTTATTTAACTTTGGCCATACATTAGGTATTATTTCATACATATAAAAGGGAGATCTTTATCCAGTTAAATAGTTTCCACCTTGAGAAGCATATCAAAATCTATAAACCTAGGTGGAAATAAAGAAATGAAGGCAAGAACCACCGCTGTGAGTGGAATAGCGAAAGTCTAATATGCACAATAGCACGAGAGCTCAACTGAGTATAACTTGCATAATCAAGGAAATCATGGGTGTACAGTCATGGGATTAAATCATGTATTAAAGCTTCAAATAATTGAAGAAGTAATAGCACACCTTTGTAACCTCAATAAAAGCATCTAAATTAGGAGTTGCTTTTCCATTTATTTCAACAATCCACTGAAGAGCAAACAGACCATAGCGGTTTGCAGGGCTACCGCTTCTCCAACTGAAAATACGAATATACGACCTAAGTTAATGACCATTTGGTTTTAGTTTGCTGGTAGAACTTCATTTTGAGCTTTTAATTTATTCAGAGCTCCAAAAATATTGTTTGGTGAAAAAAAAAAAGAGCTTAAGAGAAGCTTGTATTTGAAAAGTTATATCCTAAATCATTTCAAATACAAGCCCGCTTTTGATTTGTTTTCCCTAGTGAACTTATTTTATCATTAAAATACCATCCATGATCCATCTTTAACCAATATGAGGCTCATGGGTTCTTTTTTAGGTCCGTTTATGATTATCAGAATCATCATAGGTAACTTTACCAATCACTTCTAACACCCCCCAACAACTACCTACATACTCTTCGGTTTTCGCTATTTTATACTACCTCCGTCCCATATTAGATGTCTTGTTTTAGTTTGGCACAATTATTAATAAAGTGGTTGAAAAATAAAAGTTGTGGTTGAGATTTGAGTAGAAAAAAGGAAACAAGACATTCATTTTGGGACAACCTAAAAAGGAAAGTAAGACAAAAAAAGGGGACAGAGGGAGTAGCTTTTAGTTGTGAAAACAGGCCCTTAAGCTTAATTAGTCATTTCCTCAAATCATGAATCTCCGTCGTCATTTCAGCTAGTTTGTTTTTGTATCAATGGTATGATTTGTAGTGCTATGAATGGTTTTAAATTGTGGTTGCGGTCAATGCAGTTGTGGCTATTACGGCCGCCACAACGTGAATAGTGCACGGTCTTGATGTGGTCTGATGTGGTTCGGATGCGATTATATTGCAGTTTTAGCCGTGAATTAAAAAATCACCGCAATTGCTACGTGATGCAGTTGTGCTGCGGACTGCAACACGTGTTGTGGTCCACAATTTAAAACCATGGTTCAATTAGTATATACCCATAGTTTTTGAATGTCAAGTATTTGAAAGATGAAACAAGTATATAGACACTTAAAGTCTTGACCTTGTCACATATACACCATGGCCTTCGTTGGGGAGAAATCCAAGTGCGCGGACAGCTGGGTGAGGATATTGGACAATACACCCACACCAGTTTACTGCATGTGTGGTTCCATTACCATCCCTCATATCTGTTCCCACAAGTAGTTCCATTTCACAACCCTAACAGACATTAATTAACAACTAGTAAGAAACAAATCCTCATTCAAATGTGAGTATGTGGCCAGACAAATAATATAAATATGACAAAACTGGATGAAGTTATTATGCACCTGACGGAATATGGTAATGCACAGTTTGCCATCACCATTATATGATTCTTGGCAAGCATCTTCAATGTCACGAAAGCATGTAACTGGCTCCTTGTTGATGGCCAACAACGTGTCACCTTGTTCTAGTAATTTTTCAGCACTTGAGCTAGCAAAACAGCTTTTGACCTTTAGAACCCGCCGTCTAATACAGTCTTTTTTCACAAGGGCCTGATACCCAAAAACATGGTAGTGTTTCTATTGTCAAAAAGGGAAGAAGGCCCTGATGTTCGATATATCAGCATTATTAGTATTTCAATTTATTTATTAAAAGTTGAAACACAGAATATCTGTAGATTGTATTTGGAACTTCAAATCACCATAGTGAAACTTTCCAATCTACACATCCCCCACATAAGCTCCTCAAAAGTATACTTTTTCTATCTCCACCAATGATAGTACTTTCGTAGGCAAAGAACTAATAGCGTAGGTTAGCAACCAATCTACAACCCTGTTACAAGAATCATGTAACGAAAAAAACAATGGGGAAAATAAAGCATGCCTAAGCACCTCACCTGGATCCAAGTGTCACTTAATCCAAAGCTGCGGGCCTTGGAAAGTAATGTAGGATAAAGTTCAACTTCTAGTATTCTCATTAGTGGCAAAGGCCTTCTGACACCATTTATAAGACGAAAAGGTCCATTGGAACCAGATATAATTTTTTCAAGAACTCGACTTATGGCGTATATTGGAATTCCACGGACATTTTGATCATTTTTAACCGAACCAGAAGGGTACTTCGTCTGGAAATACAAATACACGGATCAAAACTTGCTTAAATGAACAGAAGCTCGTGAAAACTTATGAAAATGAGTAATTTATTATACGAAGAGAAGCTTGTGAAAAGCTATCAAAATGAGCATACACCATCTTATTATTTTAAATGCCTTCTCGTACATAGTTATGAATACCGACCTGATATGAGAAGCTTCCCCATAATGCTTGAACTCTTCCACGCTCATCAGACAGCACGCCAGTAAATGTAGTACCAAAATCTAAAATTGCAGGACGGTAATGTCATGGATATTTCCTGAAGTTCAAGAAGAATGCCTCCACAAAACAATGACAAAAAATAGACCATGATGCCTAAGATTCTAAAGACTGACTCCAACATACCAGTGTCAAGCTCAATAACTTCCATGTTTATTGCTCTATATCGTGGACAATCAGTTGATTCGATATTCAGGATGGCATAAGGATTTGTAACAATTGATTTTCTTGAGATTGCCTGCAGGCTTGTGCTCAGTCCCACAAGTGACACAGAATCACCGCGACGAAGCGAAGGCTCTATTCACAGCCAATAAGAAGTTAATTAGCATTATATAGAAGTGCCACACTATCAAATAGGCCCAGTACAATCTGTTGTAAATGAAATCATATCGGATTTAACAACATCCACTTTGATTTTATTGTTTTTGTCAAGCAATCGTGGAGAAGATTTCCTTAAATAAATGAGGCGAAGATCAAAAGGCTAAATATGATTTATTGTCTTAATGTCCCCATAGAAGGGTATATCCAAAAGTAAAGCCAAAACCATATCTATCCTTGCAGCCATAAATATGTGCATCCAAAATAATCCAAAAAATGCAAGTTAGCTTTCCCAGTTGGAATAGGAAACCATAATGAAATATATGTCATGCACATATACAATGAAGAAGAGCATAAAAGTTATTTTACCAGGGAGAAGCTCAGCAGCATGAACTGCAGAGTAACCATCAGGTCCAAGCGCAGAAGGATCATATGCAACAAAAGCAAAATTGTGGACAGGATCAAGGAAGACTACCTGTTAAGAAGAACAAGTTGTGCTTCAAAAGAAACATTTTAAGTTTCACAATTCAAAACTCAGCATGAATAATAAGCTAACCTCCCCAGGTATTTCAATAGGAAAAGCAGCAAATGACAGCATGACATCACAAGATGATGTTACAACAGTGTTCCTATCTACAGCAACTAGGCCCATACTTGGTGAATGGTATACAATCACACCAGTACCAGAAAATTGTAGTTTGTGGACAGCCTCCAACACACATGATATCGGAACATGAACCTACAATTTTGACACCATAAAGGAGTATACAAAGAAATAAAGTGAACAAAAACTACGAACATCAAAACCAACAGTCAACTAGAACGAAATCACTCAGAGCCGAATCGTTTCAGTTTCTAATGTAATTAAACGTTAAACATATGATAAGTACCTCATACAGAGTATGAACTTCAAAACTAAGACTGGTTCAAGCATTGAAAAACATACATAGCCAAAAGTCAATAGCCATTTTTTGCATTGCAAGAAATCTTTAATGTTCAGGTATTGAGGATGTTTTTACTTGGACTGTAATTTGCCCCAGACCAGACCAGACTAGTCCAGACCAGACCAGACCAGACCAGACCAGACCAGACTTGGATAGTTATAAAAATACAAAGAAACCAGATCTTACCAGACCAGACCAGACCAGACCAGTTCAGACCAGACCAGACCAGCAAATTACAGTCCAAGTAAAAACATCCCGAATTCCCAAACAGATGTTCACAAAATAGAATGGTCAATGATTCGACCAGTGGTTGGACTGCAATCTCACTGTTAAAATATAATACACTCCCACTATACCTAAATTATCATCTCACTTTCCTTTTTCCGTCCGTCCCAAAATTATTGTCCATGTTCGTTACAGGAAAAAACAAATTCGGTTTACAATATTTTTAGCTCTTCTAAATCGATCTCAATTCTCAACCACAGATTTTTCATGTTCCCAAATCCAATGCCCAGCCAAAGTGGGCAATAATTTCAGGACATTTAGAGTAATTAAGTTAAACTGTCAAAAATACTTTCAAAATAATTTACAAACTGTTTAAGTAATAAAAGTGAATAGTAAAATATCATGAATATATTTACCCAATGGAATACTTATTGGCCAAATAAAGATCACTTTGTGAAGCACAAAAAACACCAAACATGGTACACTTATTCAAAATCTATATTTGATGATCACAATGCACAAGAAAGTAATATAATAGATTTATTAAAATCCTATTTAAACACAAAAATTACATTTGATATGCCCGACCAATAACCTAGTACGGAGTAATATTTTTTCCAATCTAAGTATCTAACTTGATAGTCTGGTCTGGGTTTCCGATGGAGCAATGATAGAGACATTAGAAGTATCATGCATCTTTATGAATGCTTAAATTTTAAACCGAAACACAGAAAAAAAACGGCCATTAGAGGAACAATATCTACTTTTGTTTCAAGACTTTTTGTTTACATCTATGTAGCATTATCACTTTGTCGGTCAGACATGCCTGCATAGAAGGCTAAATGATAGTTCCAATGGATCCTTCAACTGATAATCTGATATACTAAAACATTAGCACGCATTCATACTTAACACATATACATCCACCATTGAAAACCAAGTCAAGGTAGCATACATCTCCACGACTTCAAAAAATAATATAACATTATAATTTCAATATAATAATCAACAATGGAACAATACATATTACACTTCCAACAACTACCTAACTTACCGCTTCTTGGTAGTAAATCTAATGCAATTCCTAATACTCAAATTGTCTACAATTGCATGTCATACTACAGTAAAAAACGAACAATACATAGTCATCAGTCATCACAATAAAAAAGCTTCAACTTTAACCAGAAAAAAGCTACATCTAGGAGGTATAACTATTGCACAAATAATTCTGACACCACTCCTCCACGTTGGAGTGAAAAGTAGGTGTGAATCACAGCATGAGTAGTTAAACATCCTCTTAGTATTTGTGCTACAAAGTAACGCTTTTATTGATCAACAAAAATGGTGCAGTGGGAGGTGAGGGAATACAAGCATATCTCTCAAGACCAAATGAGGATGAACACTTCTAATCATTACCTTAATGTGATTGACAAATTTTTGTAAACCATTATTCGCTTGAATGATTGGTCCTACTTAAGAAGTACTCAAGAAGAGAAATAAATAGACCATATAGTGAAATAGTTACCTCACACATAACAAGAGTAGGTTCAATGACACGCTCCGCAACCGAGGCATTAGCTGCATCTGTTCCACCAACGGATGAGATTTCTTCCACCATTCTTGTCTTTATACCAGAACCAATATTGTCCTGAGATTGTGGTCCCTCTGTAGTGATTTCATAACAAGGTTCCATATCTACAGCACCATTGCTTGACTCCTTGCTAACATGTTGAGACACATAATAACTCAACAGATCTTGTCTGGCAGGAATTACGTCAGAAAGGAAAACACAATCAGGCAGTAAAGCTGGCTTAGCAAACCATAATCCAGAACCATCATCACGAGTGTAAATAAGAGGAGGGGCATGCCACTCCTGGCGGTCGACTGTGACTAACACAGACTGCATTAAAAGATATTTTCCAAGTCAGGCAATATAGTTTAGAAGTAGTGGTCAAACCGAGGCAAGTTAAGTTATTACTCCCTCCGTCCCGTTAGAAGGTTCCCACTTTCCTTTTTCGGACGTCCCATTAGAAGGTTCCCATTTCCATTTTAGGAAACAATTAACAATCTTAATTGACAAATTAGTCATTAAATATTAAAAATAATACATTTATAACATCACAGTTATGAATACTAACACATTATAATATATACCTATTAAAATTATTTCTCAAAATATACCCGAAGTACTTTATTTAATTATCACCTAAATAACCGTGTCGTTTTGCTATGGGAACCTTCCAACGGGACGGAGGTAGTATTAATATTTAATAGGATCTAAATGGCCCCAGATGTACCTGTATCCGGTGACGGTCTGTGTTGCTTATGTACTCAAGAGGTACTCTTGAATCCCTATTCAAGTTAGATAGGACATGTATTAACTCCTCAAGATTTGAAATAACTTTGCCTCCAAATTTCTTAATGATAGAGTGGTCAGGAACACCAGCTCTAGAGAACATATATCTGCAATTGCAAATAGTGAAATAGAAAAGTGGTTACAAATTCTTTCAAACTAGCATAACTAAAGGATCCACAATTATAGATTTATATAGTCAAAATGCATTGTTTAGTACATAAAAATCGTCAATTAAGTTTCAAGGAAGGTCACTGTTGGGAAAAGGTAAACGTCATAAAAGTCAACATTTTTTAAGTTTAGTAAAAAATAAAATGATGAAAGTTGAAGACATACCCTGACTCTGCAACATAGACAAGTCCACATTGAAAATTGAAATTTCTAGCCTGCATCATGGATAGGGGAAAGAGTAAAAAATATCACCATGGGGACTACCATACACATAAAAAGCAACCAAGAAATCCACAAATATTTTATATACTTAACTTTTAGCATTTTCACTAAATTTTCAGGTTTTATTTTGGATCGCAATATACATTACAACATAACGGTGTGAAAAATTCAGCTCCTCAAAACACATTATACATGTTACCACTGTAGGGGCCAAAACATCTGATACAAACACACATTGATGAGTTGCTTGTTACAAAAAGGTTTTTAACTTTTACGATCTAAGGTTTCTTATATTGGAACACTTCCTAGCTGGAACATCTACATTTTTCAAGCTTGAATTAATACAAGCACTTTACCTACCTTGAACTCTTATCTTTTGTTAGGATGACATAAACACTATTTTCATAAGAGCTGATTAATATTAAAAACCTGTTGATATGAAAGGGAGTGTATCACTGCACCACTAACTTCCAAGAAGCGGTCAGGAGTTATTGAGTGCAAATTCTGGACCTGAAATTAATCGACATAGTCAATTATTCCCTCATTCTTGACCGGCATAGCACAATATAACTCGTCAACCAAAACTTAATAATATTTACATATACATTAAACATTTACATAGAACTATCCAAACACATGCATTGTCTATTATATAATGCAAGGATTAGCAAATGACTGGAATAAAAGCTTGGTGATTACCATGCAGAATCACAAACTCACCACTAATTCAACGGTCAATGAGGCACCACCTCTTTCAATTTTAAGTTCAACATTCTTTCCGACATTGTCATCAAGTAGAGTTTCCATCTCAAGGAAATGAGTAGTCACCTGCAATAGTTGTTCCTTAGAGAATGATATTGGGACAAAAAAAATGAAAAATCATAAAATATAATCTTGCTTGAAATTTGAAATCAACAAAGACCTTTATGAAATGTTGCTTGAAATTTGAAATTAACAAATGAGCGATTACAGGGTGTTGAAAACAATTTTTATTTATTATCATGCGCAACGGATTGAAGGACGATCAAATTGTTTCAGACTTTCGGCACAAAATATTTGAAAGATTTGCAATAGTCATCTATAAATCTAACAAAAAAAATAAAACCTAAGGTAGATTTCCATTATACTGACACAAACATCAGTTTAAGCTTTGACCTAAATAAAAAAGGTGATACATCCTTATTAATGACTCCTCTTAGGTATGATTGAGAGGGTTGCTATGTTGCACGGAAACGCGAAAGTCATGTAGAAACGGGAATCAGGAAACATCAACGTTTTCCCAAAAAAGTCTTGTTTATAGAGTTTCCAAAGAGTTTCCGAAACGGAAACGTACTCTTTCCCGAGAATTTTTGTGCTACATAGGAGGGTTGTTTTCCAAGATGACACTACTGGCTGTCTTGGGACCACTCTTCCAAGTTTTAAGAGAATCGGATCACCTAAAAAATTATCTAAGATAATATGACTCAACATACACACAACTGACATGAATAACCGAATCAGGACGAAGATCATAGAGGCCCTAAGTCTTCCACTCAACGCCAAACACCTTCCTCGTACAAGAGACACAACCAAAGAATCAGCTGAAAATGTTATAGAACAATTGATAGAGAAAGTAACTTTGCTAATAGACACAAGATTAAATGGACTATTTAGAACATATAAGACATCTTCCAAGGGTAAGGATGGCTCAGGAAGAGCTTCATCTATGCTTATAGTTGGGTTTGAAGTCCACTGGCAACGATGAATGTGGTAAATCATGAGGTTTAGTCAGATTAGATAAAAGACATGAATTACCAGAGGCATTATCAGAAGCGCCTGAATAAAGGATCCACAAACAAGGAGTGTGAAACACAGGCCGCAGACCCACCTCGTTGACTACATTTCTATTGGAGGTTTTTTGTGGAATAATACCATAAATGAAACAACAATACTGGAAACTAAACAATAACACAAGAAGGCGAGGCGTGGCATGATCAGCAGCTGGAGCTTTGACACAATTTGGAAGTCACAATGATAGATGAGCGGAAAGGGATAGATGCAACAAAAACTCAAGCTTGGTGCAGTAGTCTTCAGTAGTACATAAATGATGCAAGTGTGGTCATAATCCGACCGGTGGGTCTCGAAGCTCATATCAGCACAGTGGTAGAGTGAGATTGGTCAGATGACCTCTGGAAGTACTCCATCATCGCCTGTGGCTATTATTCATGCCAAAGACTAATATTTACGCTGGAAGTGAAAAGATGACAACTAATATTGGCTTCAATACCATGTGCAAGTAAAGAACATTTTTATTCTAATGTATCAGAAGGAGGTGTATACTACATCTAGGGTTAAGATAGCAAGTAAAGCCCAATACAATTAGGGTTAAAATTTTAACACAACGTATGAAATACTTAGCAGAAGAGGAATGATCCTGTCCAGCAGCCCCCGGTCCGAATGCCGTCCGAACATGGCCATTTGGGGCACTTTCCGGTGGAATTGTTTGATGAAATTTTTTCAGCATGTTCCTGATCACGTCTAGTTTGTCCATACAAAATTTCAGCTCAAAATTCGATCGGGAAGGCATTCAAATCAATTTTTGATGTTGACTGCGTCAAAATATACATATAAAAATGCAGTCAACTTCAAAAAATGATTTGAATGCCTTCCGGAACGAAGTTTGAGCTGAAATTTGGTATGGACAAACTAGACTTGATGAGGAACATGCTCAAAAAATTTCATCAAAAAATTCCACCGGGAACCGCCCCAAACGGTGGTGTTCGGACGGAGGCTCCCGTCCGAACGTTCGGACCTGAACATTCTTGCTTAGCAGAATTCATATGTTTAACAAGTAAATGCTAACACTGACCTTCTCATTCATACAAACAAGTACATCACCTGGCTTTAAGAGATCATAAGCTGGGGCACAAGGCACCTGAAACAAACCAAGAACTCTAAGAAAGCAGGAGTATACAAGAGATTAATACATCCTAAACAGCACCAAGATGACATACCACAGAATCAACAACAAGCATTCCAATTTCACCTGGACGAGAAGCACTTCGTACCAACTAATTTGTGAGACACATTATCAGTGTTATTATCATTATTTATCTGAAGTGCATAAAAATACATAAAACCGTCACTTCCATATACCCGTTCTGTTTCGCTATGAACACCAAGACGACGGGTCTCATCAAATCCTTTATGAACAAATGTAACCTATACAACAAATTTCCAACTGTGAATTTTACCATTACTAGAAACGGAAAAAAGTGCAAGAAATGAAGAGTTTCATTGAAACAGAAAAGGAATAAAATGTAGATGTCAGTGCCCTTTGAAGTAAAATACTATGTAAGAAATAAGGTTAATTCTGATGTCCTAAATATGAATTTCATTTAGACTTTTAAAAACAAAAAACTGGAAAGAACATAAATGATTAATTGACTTCCAATACTGTCAATGGAGATGTTTAATTAATGAAAATGTGACTTACTAGCTCCCTCTGTCCCGCTAAGATTGTCTCATCTTTGTTTTCCAGTCCATACCATTAAGATTGTCCCATACCGAATTCGATAAAGTTTGTGTGGTTCTAAAGCATTCTTACTTTATAATTACTTTATCAATTCAATATTAACCACACAAACCCACTTTTCTTTATTTTTTTACCCATTTTTCTTAATAACCGCATCAACTCCTCATGTTCTAATTTTAGATGGACGGAGGTAGTATTAACTTCCAATGGTGTTAATTAATGGAGATGTAAACACGATATTCTATATATCCAATATCCGAAAACAATGTGAACAATGACTATTGAATATGAAGTATTGTATCTAAAAATGAAGTAAATTCCCGAGGGATAAAATTATTTAAACTCTGAGATAGAAAATTGATTTAGATTGTCATCCAGTCAATCATACTCCAACCACAATGCTTCACTTCTTAGTCTAAACACTAGCATAAATAAATGTCCCACACCGGAAAGATTTGGATGAACGAAGTGTTATATTAACACATGGGCTATTCCTCCTATCAAGTTGACCTTTTAGGATGGAACCCCAGATCTTAACATCGAATCAGAGCCAAATCGATCCATGGTGTGGGGCCCCTTATGACACGATTATTAAAAAAATTGACAATTACGGCCGGATGAAAAAAAACGGACCGATAAAAAAAAACGAATCATGGCACGATCCAGGCGAAATGTCTGGTCGTGAGGAGGGGTGTTAAATGTCCCACACCGGAAAGATTTGGATGAACAAAGTGCTATATAAACACATGGGCTACTCCTCCTAACAGGTTGACCTTTTAGGATGGAAACTCGTGTCTTAACAATAAATAATACAAAACTATAGAAGGATAAAACTTTACAAACCTGAAGCGTGCCACGAGGAATAAATATTGCCTCCCATTTGTGTCTAGAATCTCTTCCTTGTTGTAAGAAAGCTAAAGCCCTTACAACCTAATACAAATGAAAATCCTACTGATTGAGCATGCACTTCCAAGAAATCTAGTTTAAAAATCAAATGTTCAATGTAACAAAAAACATTAAAGGGAAAAAGAGATTGAATTTGATTCCATTGCAGGCGAGCAAAAAATTAAAGTGCAAATTAACAATGTATTTTAATCAGTCGTAACTCCTAAGTGCTAATAGCTACAAAATCTGAGAGAAAATGCAATAATAAAACTACAATTTTTTTAGACTTATCATAAGCAGAGATACTTCGATAAATACTACTGTCCCATTTTACTTGTCTTACTTTCCTTTTTGGGTTGTCTCAAAATAAGTGTCAAAATTTCCCTTTTTGGAAAGAAATATGTGGTACATAACATTTCACTTTATTATATACTCAAATTTCAACCACAATTTTTACCTTTACAACTACTTTATTAAGAATTGTGCCAAAGTCAAATGAGACACATAAAATGGGACGGAGGTAGTATAATATTATTATCTTACTCGCTCTAACGGAAGGAAAAAAGCAGAGGCGCTTGAATTATTGCTCCCTGCATTCAAAGCAACCGCTCTGCCCTTCCAGTCAATTACTGGAGAGCCACTTGAACCACCCCTAGTCCCAGATGCAGCCTGTGTTGTATGTAACAAAAGAGAAGATGAAGTGATAAAGCTTAGAGTATCTGGTAGGCGAAATGACTTATAATGATTCAGAGCCCAAGAAAAGGTAATAAGATTGCCAAGCTTACTTGTATGTAGAATGTATTGAAGTCATTGTAGCCATCACTGCACCCAAAACACAAATCATCATAAAAATGCAACAAATGTGGAAATCTTTCACCATATGATAATGGATATAAATAAAATATCCCTTGAAACTTTAAATCATTTAAACCCATGTTTAATCTTAATCCTAAAAATTAAACTTCAAGTCATACCGAGGCTTGCACAATATGCTACTGACGCTTAAGCGAAAACGCATGGAAACCATGCACAGCTCCCATTTGCCATATTTCAGAAACTTGAAAACGTAATGGAAACTTCAAATGCATGACTCGTGACGTTCCATAATGGCAATGTCTTTTTCATATATTTCTTGATGGGCTATGGTGGACTGAACCCCAGGGCAAAGTAAAAAAAAAATAAGGTATTATTTTTAAAAAATTTCATTCACCCCACCCCAAATTCTTCTATAGCCGAGTCCAATTTTTCATCGCAGTCCATAGAACAAAATCTTACCATCTAACATCTAATCTAAATGTTATACGCATCACCTCTCACTTAATAATTGGCACTTAGTATATATGTATAAGTTATAACTGTATAAGGGTCATAAAGCCCATAAGGCATAACTGTAATAAATACAATAAAATATGTTTTAATTAAGAGCTTATTGACATGCTCACGGTAACTTGTAAAGTGTTTGAGTATCTTCATGAACATTGCCCAAAAGTGAGTTCTCGGGCAGAAGTTTGTAGTGTATATAGACCCTCTCCATATTTTGGATTTGTGTTCAATTTACTTTTGATGCACAAGGTTATGGGAATAACGAGTATTTTTGTCAAGGGCTTCAAAAAAAAATTATTGGGAATCTTGATAGCCATGAGACATGTTTATACTACACAACTCATCCTCGGGGAAATGAGAAAAATAATTGGGAAGGTATGAGAAGGTTTTCTTGAAGAAGTAAAGGAATTTTGCTCAAAACACGAAATTCATGTACCGGAGTTGGTCATTGCCGAAAAGAAACTAAAGTTGATCGAGCATCATTATCACTTTGATGTTTTCAATGAGGCAAAATATTTTGTATTGTTGGAGTTAAGGGCCCGGTTTAATGATATAGTAGTGAAACTCCTTTCTTTGAGTGCTTCAATAGATCCCTTTTTCATATGAGTCGTTCAGTGTCGATGCTATTTATACTCTTGCAAGGAAGTTCTATCCCGAAGATTTTAGTAATCACAATATTCGTGCTTTGGAATTCGAGCTGCAACACTATGTTCATGATGTATACATTGTTGGAATTGATCATGATTCCCAACATACATGATACAAAGTTTCAAGTATTTGCACTTGTTGAATTATGTGAGGAGCTGACTAAGAGCAGAAGATCTGATTCATATATACGTTATGATGAGCAGATTGATTTGCCTTGTATTGATCTTACTCTTTCTATTACAACAGTAGAACGATCATTTTCTTCCATGAAACTTCTAAAGACAGCACTCCGCAACAAAATGGATGATGACTATCTTAGACTTTTTATATTGAAAAAGATCTTACTCTTAGTATAAATGTAGACTCTATTGTTGATGAGTTTTTTTTTGTTCCAAAGCCTCATCAAGAATAAATTTAATGGAGAACTCTTACTCCCTCCGTCCCGCTAAGATCGTCCCAGACACTATTCACTTGGTCAACACAAATCACTCTTACTTTAAATTTTTAACTTACTTTATATATAAAATTTTTATCTAATTTGTATATTGTTATTTTAGGAACATGATAGATAAGAAAATATAATTTCATTTTGAAATTTAAAAACACACGTGGTATTAGTCGAAGGGTTGATTGCCAGGTGGGATGTGGATTGTGCGGGTTGGACGAAAAGTCGCTGTTACATCTGCTCGTCCGGTGTCCGGTAGCGTCTGAGTTTTGGCGTGCTGCTGGCTGGAGGGCGATCGAGCAGGTCGGTCGGACGGCCATTTCTGGAGTGGTTGGAGTTGCTTTTCAGGTGGAGAAGAAGGAGAATTCACAGAGATTGATTTGGGGTTGTTGGGATTTATGGTGCGAACGAAACCGGCGATTATGGCGCGCAGGGAAAGAGTCCGATCTCCTCTCAAATTGTTCACCGGACAAAATGTTTTGTAGATGGGTGGCTGGAAGTGCAGCGAAGGGGGATGAAGTCTGGTCCGGAACAGAGAGCTGATTGTCAATGGAAGAGGCCGGTGGTGGGATTCTGTAAATTGAACGTGGATGCAGCTGTTCTGGAGAATAAGTGCGGTTTTGGTTGGGTTCTACGGAATGATTACGTAATTCAGAGGTTGATACCAACCCTGCAATGGCATTTAGGATGTTTGTACCTTTTTAAGTTGAGGACAGTTAAATAGACTAGATCAGATTAGGTCAGTCTTAAATGGACTAGACCAGAATAGGTCAGACTTCCGTAATTATAAAATATATAGAGATCAGACATTTATCAGATCAGACCAGACTTAAACAGGTCAGACCAGACCAGCAAGTTACAGTCCAAGTAAAAACATCCTAGGTCACGATTACTTAGTCAATCCAATGGTGGTAGACATTGTACCCGTGCGCATGATAGATCCAACCTAGTAGGCAGGAGCTGTAATCTACACACGGTCGATGCGGGTTTCGATCGTTGGTCAATGTTTCAACTTTCTCACCACTCAACCAATTAAGCTACCCTTGCAGGTATGATCGGGCAATTGCGAGGTGTTCTCCATTGGAACTGAACTTCTGGGAATACGTGAAGCTCTTAAGCTCTGTCAATAAAATGCACTCAATATATTTTCTTTCATACCAGTTTATCAAAACATTTAATTTAATTATTATTAGGAATGTTATTTTTTGTTTTTGTATGCATAATTATGAAATTAAAAAAACAAAATTGTTAATTTTTTTTTATGTTTTCCAGTTTTCATAAAAAACAAAATGAGATCATGTGATATTCAATTATTTATGGAGGCTCCATTAATTAAAATTTTGTGCTTTCGTGGTTTTTTGGGCTTAAGAACACTCCACCAGTTAAAATTTTAGATTTTCTTTTCAGTTTATATATATATTATTGGTATCATATGAATGATCATAATAATCCATGAATTTGATTTTTTTTGAAAAATTTGGAGAACATATTAAAAAGTACAAGAGTTTAAAAAAATGGAGTTTTAATGACGCAGGAATGACGCAGGGCTGAGTCATCAACTTTCGTGCAACATGTGTCGCCCCCTTTCCTTTTTCTTTTTCCTTTTGTTCTCTTTGTCAACTCTGCATATATATTTAACCCCTTCCACCCCCTTTCCCACTTTAAATATTTCTTGGACTCATAATTAAGAGTTCAAAAGCTACACATTTAGCATTTTGGACTCATAATTCTTCCCCATTACAAATGGTCTAAGGAACAAACTTGGGAGTAGGTTGAAGTGGAATCGAATGCATTACGGGCTATTGTTGAAATCCATAATGGGGCTAGTATTTCTGCCATTGGAGAAATGTGTCAAAAATTTAAAGAACTCTATTTTTCTCATATTAGTCGATTTGAGAACAGAGTTGCTCATGAGTTAGTTAGAGCGACTGTTTTTTTTTTCTGATAGCCGCTTTTGATGGTATGTCCCACCTAATTGCATTATTGATGTTTTGAGCTTTGATTTGATTAATTACAATTAATTCCTTTTCATTAAAAAAAACATATACGTATGTGGTATTTGTGAGATCTATGGTTCTTGAAAAATCAATAATAGTTATGTCAATTGTCGAGATTGAAGATTTTTCACCAATTTTATTAGTATTGATATTGTATTATATTGTAGTGTATTGAATTGAACCGAAAAGTTAAAGTTTCAAACGGTTTGAACCCTTAATTTGGACCGTACCATAGCGTTTGAAATCTCATGGCGTGCATGTTTTGGTAGTTTACCACAGTATTTGGATTGCGTCCATCCCTATGTAATTAAAGTGAACTCTCTAATTTATGTAAATATGAAAAAATGTAATTTCTTATTTTTGAACCACTTATTTATGTTAAGAATTTTGAACTACCTAATTTCATTTACTCCGTAATAGTTAACTTAGATTGTTAACTTTTTCCCGTAATAAGAGTAAAGTAAGAATATAAGATGTAAACAAAAATCAATTCGAAAACAAAAAACACTCACGTCCTATCTGGCCAAGAAACCTCATAAAACACCTAAGAAGAAAATTGTGGCAACGAGGGCATCCAATGCAAAATTCATCATTGTGCTTCTTGCATGAATTTAAATACTAAGTTAGTAATTTACTAACTAATTTTAGATAAATAATTGACATTATAAGTTGCTATCAACATAATTGGGAATAAAGTGTTGATGGTGGTGGTGGGATAGGGGCTAAGGCCAAAGAGGCCACAAGCAAATGGAATGCTTCAAAAGAGAGGGTACGTACTTCATGTACTTTGGAGCATCTCTATCTAAACGAGCAAGGGTGCCGGCCAAAATAGAGACCTGTAAATTAATTCACAAGTAAAAGAATAATACTTAATAATCCGTTCTTTATAACCTTGTCAAATTTGATTGACATAAAAAATAATGAAGTAAAAATTGTGTGATGAAATCAGAGGACATATATAACATAGGAACTCGAAATTAGTTGATTAAAGGAACAAAAGGAATGCGTGAGCATGGTGCTATAAGACATTATTAAAAACCACTAGACTCTCGATCATGTCAAGTGCATGAGCCTCAGAAACAAGGAAGTTTGTTAATTCGAACAAGGTGGGTTATAACATTTCTGAAATACGATGGCATGACCACTAGGGCACTAGGGCTTGGAAAGCCAAAAAATATAAACACATAGAGCCTGTTTGGTGTTCACACTATAAATTACAAGCATAAACCATGTTGATAGCACTCGCATCTAAACATAAAGAAAAATCAACTTGCAAATTGCAATGCAACATATCCTCATCGCACAATAAAATGGAACCTAATACGAAGTATAATGTAATATATTGTACGTAGTATGTAGTACAAGTATATTACATAGCAATTAAGATTGTCTCATCTTTTCTTTTCTTTCCATTCTATTATGATTGTCTCATACTAAATTTGGTAAAATTTGTCTAGTTCTTAATCATTCTTACTTTTTTCTTACTTTATCAATTAAATATCAAAAACATAAATTCATTTTCACCACATCCTTATGTCCCAATGTTAGTGGAACCGAGATAGTTACTCCATCTAGTTTTATTAAAATAAAGTCTTTCTTTTCTCTTTTATATATTTCCTCCTAATATTACGATAACTTTTGTAATGTAACGTACTCCATTAACATTCTTTTGCTCATCCTTTTTTTCACTTTACTTACCATTTAACCTTTTGATTTTCTGTCGAACACTTAGTACTTTTTCTCATTTTGAAAGATCACAATTGTAAAATAGAAATTGTCACCTTTTCTTGAATTAAAATCAAATTAGCCCCATATGTTAATCTACTTCTACGTTATGGGAGGGAGTGTACTACTCAAATAATTTGTGTCCATTTTTAATTATTTCTTTTAAAAAATTAATGCCGACAGGATGTAACTAAGAAAAAAGTAGAAGTGTGAATTAAAAGAACAAAGATACAATACCTTCTCGCCACTATCATTCCCCACTACCCTTATTTCAAGGCCCACATGAGCAGCCTCAGGAGCAAGAGGGATTTCCTCATAATCAAGGAATTGTATTGCACCAGGATCATAACGAAAAAAACCAAAATCATGAACCTGTGAAAATAAAATAACAGGTCATTTACTTCAGCACTAGCTTATAGTAGAAAAAGAAGTATAGTCTAAATACCATACAGACCAACTCAGCTTATAGTAACAAATTTCTACTATCAAACATCTATTATAAAGTGCTACTATCAAAATCGTCTTGTTTCACTCATCACCTATATAATCCCACATATTATTCAAATAATTTTTAATTGATATAGTTATCAATTTCATGAATGTTCATAACTTGTTCGACAAAATGTCTTAGTCACTATTTATTTGTGAAGCTGGAATAATGTCTTGAATTACAAACAACTAAAACTACCATAAAATTCCTTGCAAATTTGCTTGCACTTTTAAAACTCTTCATCCTCATTTTGCTTAAATTGCTAATTCATACCAAACTCACTTGTTGGCATTAGTGTTTAAAAGTCCAACTCTTTATAACATACTTTTAATAATCTACAAACCTACTTGGATGTATTCAATCAATAGAAACAAGGTCCAATAGTGAAGTCACATAGCCACTATTCTACCAAAGGCAATGTTGGATGCTTCCAAATAAATGATTTTTTCTACACCTCCAAAGTCCAAATACATCAAGGCAATATTTTCCTTCAAAGTTCTCAGGTTCTTGTGCTCTCTACTTTTTTCTTCTTCTCCTAACTTCTTTTCTTTGTACTTTCACGGTTTCCTCTTTCTAGATTTTAACTTGTTGTGGGCTTTCTTGATATTTAAGTTAAATGTTCTTAAATCCAATTCTTCCATTTTTATTAGATTACACAATTCCACCATTCTATTAAGCTGGTCTTTTCAATCTTCTACTAACCGCTTCTATAAATACTCCATGTTAACTGAACTCATTTATTTTGAACACCCATTAATCCAATGGTCATAAACAATGTATAAAACTCATTATACTTCGAATATTCTGTTTTTAACTTATTTCTTTTCGAATATGCATTTTTTGTTTAGAAGAACATGGGTTTTTAGTACGTACTCATTTATTTTCTTTACACCCCAAGTGAGGTAGAATTGATTTTCTTTGCGATTTTTTCTAAATAAATGCTTATTAACAAATTAAAGTACATTGCAAACATTTTGAGATAAGCATTATGAAGGTTAACATCCTAGGGAAGCTAATTTATACTAAGATGGTCATTTGGGTTTAAATTTGAGTTTTAGTTTGGAAAACATCATATGCAAAGAAAGTCAAATGTTTGTGATGTACATCATTATATTGATGATGTAATTCATCCTCCCAATATAGTCAATGATCGAATTTGATTATGTCATTTAACTTTCCAAAGGAATCGCTGCTTTTACTTTGAATCATTTAGGCTAGGATCTTTTGATATCGGGGCAGTTTAAATTTTCTGGAAAATTGATCGATTCCCTATTACATAGCAATGAATAGCTGCATAAAATGATTCACTCTGTTGAAATAGTAGTTAATTATATGAAATATATATAGCTCAAGAGATAGGGAAATGCCAAAATGAAATAGTTAAGGTACTTACAAAATGGTTTAAGATTGATTTAGTAATGTAGTAGATCATTCTTAAGTATTAATGATGGAATTTGTGATGATACAATTTCAACCATTTCTACCGTCACACATTGATTATTGCCTCACTTATACCGAGCCAGCTTTATAAAGCATAATATCCATGAACTTTTAGACTATGTTAGGATATCAGAAAATGCTACATAAATTTATTTTCTCGTGTTTACTTTTACCACAAGAAACAACAACAATGAAACATGATTGTATTTTTTCTTCTACATGCGATTAAATTTTATAATTCTTCTTTCTATAATGGAAATGGATCAATAAACAAATAGTTTGAGCAAATACATATGTGTATACAAAATTTGTTTCAACAAAAAAGTTATTTCCGCATTATCTTTCCTTCTAAATCTTACTTATATTTTATTCCCTATTTTATATTTTGATCTCCTTAGGATTTTTCAATTCCAAATGGGCCCTTACTGAATGAATGCATCTAACTTGTGTTTCTAATGTGTTGGCCCTATTTTTACTTTTTACTCACGAAGTAAATGAAGTTTGTTCAAAACATTTTCTAAAGTTTAGTACACAAAAAGAAACCCATGTAATTGTAGACATGTGACTAAAAACAATTATAAATCACCACACACTAATCAAGTAAGAAAAACATATTACGTCTGTTCTTAAATATGTGCAACATATTAAGTTTTACACTATTTACATGTTCTACTTTGACTACAACTTATTTATTAATGTATTAATACAATATTTTTTTTTAAATGTTAAATTTAACTCATTGTAAAATTTCAAAGTTGTGTATCGGCAAATGTGAAAAGTGCGTTGTCGCACTTATTTAAGGACGAAGGTAGTATATATGTAAATGATTTTTTTATCATTTGTTGGGCATGAACCGCGCGTAGTGCATACTCCGTTAGTTAACTATATAATTATCTATTCCAACTAAAATCAATACCAACTCTTTAGATAAAATCGCTTTTTAAGCATAAGCAAACTCTTATTCTACCTCTATATAAGAATCAATTCGAAACACCGCTATATATGTCGCGTATATAGGACTTACAGGGTCTCTATATATTGGATAGATAGGAATTTCTTCATTGTTCATAAACATGGCTTCAGCCACCACAGGTCCTGCAATATATAGAGGAAAAAAGAAATTGATCGAAATAGGTGCTGAGTAAACATTAATTTAACAACGAAAAAAACAGAAATATAATAATAGAACCACACGAGTAGATTTATACAAAAAAGGTCGGCTCCGCGCGCCCAGCCTGTCCAGCCTACCCTTATAAATGGGTGGGCTTGGACATATGAATTTACCATTGTCCTAGCCCGCAATAACATATGAGTGGGCTTGAGTTAGGAAGTAGGACTGTTCGGGGGCAATAATATATACACATGAATGTGTATATATATATTGGATATATATATATCCAATATATATATATATATATTTAGGTTCAAGTGATGAGAAAACCATCTTAGGAGAGAAAAAAGAACAAATATAGACCATTAGATCATCTATTAATTATTCGGTGCTGCTAATGTGGTTGGAGGCTCTTCTTGTCATTTTAGGTTTCTTTTCTGTTATACGTGTAACAATCATTTCCGATGCTCACATTTCCATTTCGGTGCAACATATTCCTTCCTTAATTGTAGTGTTTCTCCATATTTCTTTTATTTCTTATTTTGCAATTTCATTTACGTAGGGTATGTCATCTTTGTTTTTGTGATTACAGTTGGTGTAATACTTGTATATCCGTATAATTCAGAAAAAAGGACTCTTTACATGTGATTGTATACATTTTACATTTGTGAATTTGCAGTAAACTAACCTTCATTTTTGTTTTGTGTTGAATGAACTGATTTTAATTTTAAGTTTGCAGATTTGCACTAACATTTTTTATGAATATGAAACATTTAATTTGATCTAACAATTATTGCACCTAAATGGTCATGTGATGGATTTTAGGTGTTTGGTATGGAACATTTCATGATAGTTAATTAGTTATCTATTTAATTTTCAGATAATAAAAATGATGGCGTTTTATTAAACTTTTGGTGCACTTATCATGTTTTAGTCATGCACTTTCACTAGCTTTTATTTTTTTTTACTTTTTTTTACATATACGATGCAGTGTCAATGGAGCAATTGTGATCCATTTGGAAGAAACAATGTCAACGTAAAATTGTAAAAGTATGATATAATAATGCACTTTTGTGTATTTCAAATGCACATGACAAAGGTGCATTTCATTTTGTAAAAAGAATGTATATAAATGTTTAGAAAGTGTTATACGAAGTATAATGCTGCACGTTTCTATACATTTGAAATGCACATTATAGTTGTTAGTTTACACCATTGTATATTTATGTCCATTTTTATGTAAAGTTGTTTTTATTTAAAACTTGTATAGAAGTGCACAAATACATGAGTAAAGTGTAGGTTCATCTTAAAGAATGTGCAAGGCAATGCGATATAAAACTGCACTTTTCAATCGTACAAATTATCTTGATTAACATGTTATTTTTGTTTAGATTCATTACATTGATGAATGTAGCTGGTTATTCAAACTATTAATAGTGTTAAAATATCCAAATACCTAATTAAACTGATGTTGCATAATGTTTCGCATAAAAGTGCAGGTGTTAAACCTTAAAGTGAAAAAAGATTAAACATAAAAAAATTAATGCCCAATTTGAATAAAGAATTTTTAAAATCAAATTTTTTATCATAATTGTATGTGAGTTGAATCTAGGTTTGGAAAGAAAATTAAAGTGAAGTAAATATTTAGTATATCATAATTATGATGGAGTGGAACCATATTAATTAGTATCCTAATTTTAAGATTTTTCCCATAAATTTACTAGTGCATCCCAACCGTTTTTTAGTGTTTTACCCAAAATGCCCTTTACTTGGTGTTTTAATGAACTCTTATCAATTACGAAGCCAACACGTGCGTCATCACATGCATTTTTTCTCCTAAATCTGTCACAAGAGCCGTAGGATTAGAAGAATGAAGGGTCCAAATTAGTTCTTTTTTCTTTCCTGGGAGTCCATTCTCACCGGAACCGCAGTGGCGGATCCAGAAATTAAATTTGTTGGGGGCATAAAAACATACACTGTTTCGCTACTTTATTTCAAACCACGAGTTATGCTTTATGTCTTGGTGTCATATGAAAGATTATAAAAGTTCATGAATTTTGATACTACCTTCGTCCCAATTTAGTTAGCCATCTTTGACTCTTCCAGTAAAAACTGGTAATCTTTGACCAATTATTTTAACTAATATATCTATGTAAAATTTAATTATTTTATACTTTTCTAATAGTACTTTTGACAAAGAACATTTTTATATCTTTTTCATATTATCAATACTTGTGTATATAAATATATAGCCGGTCAAACTTAGACATCATTGACTTGAGAAATAGTATTTGGCTATCTATAAAATGGGACGGTTTGAGTATATTTTTTGAAAAATTTGGAGAATAGATAAAAAAAGTTCTAAGAATTTGAAATCTTTGGAATTATAATGATGTAGGGATGACATGAGAATGAGAATGAAATCAACCCCACATCCATGCAATGCACCCTCTCCCTCTCCTTCCCAATTTTTTTTCTTTTTCCATTTGCCACTCCTATCAATCCACCCTTTACCCCCTTTCCCACTTTTAATACCTCATTTATTCTACTACTACATGAAATTAGGAGTCCAAAAATTTCAACTTTGACAATTTGGACTCCTAATACTACACCACTACAAATGATGCAAATGTTTACTTTTCTTGTACTTTTTATTATGATTAGAACATCTTCAATGCTACAATTTGCACAACGCACATGTGCCAATAGAGATAGCCGCACAAATATTATCAAATAAATTATCTCTTTCCTTATTTAATTACTGACAACAATAAATAAGTTTATATTAAGAAGCATTAAGATTACAATTAGTTTGACATAACATATGAAAGTTAGAAAGGACAAGTATATACATATGACAATAATCAATTTTATTTATATGTGAATGAGAATATGATTTCGTACTTTGGAAAAATTTCCCTAATTTTAATTAATCGCATGAGTTGTTAATATTAACTTATTAAATCAAATTTAGTTCCATTCAATTGTTGATTTGCATTTCCATAAAATTACATTAACACATGATTTATATTCCATTAATGCGGAAATGGGAAACATTGTGGGGGGGCAAAGGAAATAATTATTGGGGGCAAACTATTTCACTTTCAAATAAAAGTACTCTATTTACTACGGAGTATATATTTAGCTTACATCCGCCCCTGGTCCGAACCGCTCCCTATATAGAGCCCGTTTGGTAGCACCAAAATCAACTATTTTGGTTGATTCTGCTAAAATTTATGAAGTTCTGGTTGAAACGGCTGCATTGGTTGATTCTGCTGATTTAAGTATAAATTATTTTTAAAATATATTTTATTAATAAAACAAAGAAAAAATTATATGTAAAAATAGCTAAAATAATCATGTACAGTAACTTCAGCCAATACAGCCAGAAAAGTAACCACAACCTTACTTTTCTGCTTATTACAAAATTCTGTGTGCGCAAGCAAAAATTACGTGTTTGGTGAAAAAGTTGGCTGACAAGTTTGATAAGTCAAAAAAAAGTGTTACCAAACGGCCTCATATATAGACACACACTATATACACATATAATAAGTATTTATTTATTTATTAATATGTAGACGTGCATGTGGCCCACTATCTTTATACTCCGTATATAATTATGATTCATTATATTTAAATTTAAGCTTTTAGCTCTTAAATACTAGCTAGCTCAACCTATAATATCTATTCGTACACTTAATAAAGATAATATACTAGCTCTTAAATACTAGCTCAACCTATAGTAGCTTTGTGTTTGAATATTAAATTTTAGCTATATATAGTTTTTCATGATTATTTATTGTGTAAACATTTTTTGTGTATGTGGCTGGTGAGAGGCCTATGAACATTATTTATAAATTTATAAACACATTAGCAATTGTTAAAGTTATAATACCATGTATTATTTTAAGATTTCTAATATTTTGATAATTTTGAAAAAATGCAAGGTTTTCGGCGGCCAGACGGCCCGATGGACACCCGGCTCGCTCTTATGGGAGGGTATATATGAACATGTGATTAGACATGCTTGTTGCGGGCCGCATCGGACCTGCCCGTACTTATATATAGTAAGAAATTTTTGGAAAAGCCCGATCCGCGCATGCCCGTTTTTGTACAAGTGTACATATGAGTCGTAGTATTGTACTAAGAATGTTTTTAATTGGATTGAGTTTTTCTTGTTTGGTATGATCTTTTTTAGTATGGTCTCTGGGCTGAATTGATCTGGTCAGGTCTGGTAACTAGATATTTAGTCTATGTGAATTTAACAACTCTTGAACGAACTCTGATGTAGTCTGGTCTGGTCTATTTATTTCTGGCTAGTCTAAGTAAAAACATCCCCTTTACATGAAAAGAGTTTAAGTCGTGCTCTGGAACAAGCCGTAGAACTGGTCCGAGAACTGCACCGTAAATCCAAGATTGATTAATCCGGCTTGCTTAAAATATCTTTTCTCTCCATTTAATTTCGGATCTATCTTGCTAAATTAAAGAGAACCTTTTAAGCAAGAAAATAATCAATGATCATACAAAGAAAGGATTTTTTTCTTTGTATGATCATTGATTATTTTCTTGCTTAAAAGGTTCTCTTTAATTTAGCAAGATAGATCCGAAATTAAATGGAGAGAAAAGATATTTTAAGCAAGCCGGATTAATCAATCTTGGATTTACGGTGCAGTTCTCGGACCAGTTCTACGGCTTGTTCCAGAGCACGACTTAAACTCTTTTCATGTAGTCACTTACAACCAAAAGTAACACTAGTCGTTTGTCATCAACAAAACAATACGTTCCAACAAATTCCCCCTTTTTGTTGATGACAAACACTTGGTGCCCTAAAGTTAGTTTCATAATGAATAAGCCCAAAGTATCGAGCATAGAACACATAGGGCACATATTCTGGTATCAGAGCGGGTCGTGCTTATATTGTCGCGTGGAATGGTGGGGTCCTCGTGAGGGACGAGGACTATGCGAGCATGGTGGCTTAAGGGCC